ATGGTGTAAGGAGAGCGAAATAATGCAGGCTGGAACTCATGGAACAAAGCACGCCGTGCAGCCTCAGACCGAACCAATGTTCAGGCCCTCTGTGATTTCTGACACGGAGAGAATTAAGAGAGAAGGGGTTTAATAGAACATTTGCTTGACCTTGCAATTTATTTCTATTAGTAATACCATGAATATTTGGTTTGAAATTAAGGAACCAATATCGGTAGGGTAGATTGAATTCACCTTTAGTAATAGGAACATAAAACACTGGCTTTTTGAAAACTCATAATTAGAAGGTTAATTGTGAGTATTGGTTAGATTTCCAAAGTAAAATGAAAAAACAATTTTCCTTTTGTATTGTTTTCATGGTTTTATGGACTTTTGATCTTGAAAACTTTTCTTTATCTCCTTGTGTTTCATACAGTCATATAAATAATCCTTGCAAACAAAAATGATATTGTTATCATCCTTGTCAGCTGGGGCGAGGTTCTGTGTTGGTATAGATGATCTATTTATTTTGTTTTGTCGTACCGGTAAAAACTAGTACAGTGTATATGAATATCCATACAGCGAGTATCTTTTATTGGTATACAGAATGAAATATATCGAGAGAACGAACAGTATTCAAGCTTAAAAGTCCATAAAACAATATAAAATAGGAGCAGAGCAATCAATATTAACCTTAAAAACATCAGAGGTAATTGGATCAGGTGCCACGGAGGAGTGAGCATTCCCTGCCGACCCGTCACACTCTTTATGTGCTCCTTGTCATGATCGGGAAAAAACGGAAAATCCGTTGGTTAGTTAGGGTGATCTAACAATTAGTATAAAAACCTGTAAGCATATGACTTAATGATAAATTGTATTTGCTGCCAAGGTCATTGCATTGACCATAGAACTTACGAAATGACGACTTCAAACGAGAATGGTGATGTTGTTTGTTTGTCAATAATTTACCTCGTTTTAGAAATTGTAACGACGTAGAACATCCTCTTACGTATCGAATCAACCGAGATATATAAACCCCATGTGCAGATGATGAATGTATAATGCAGCATAGGTAAGGAAATTCAACGATTGAAAAGTTTATAATAAAGCACTTTCGTTACTCCTCACTAAGATATTGACAGAAGTGAAGGCAAAACTTCAAGAGCACTGTGCAACAAGTGGTGTGAATCAGATGTGGATATTCAAAAATTCCAAAGAACTTTTAGACAATTTGAAATCACGAGATTTTTCCAAAATCAACAGCTTAAAAACTACGACTTTTCCACTTTATACACAACCATTCCCCACGATAAATTAAAGTCCAGGCTTTTTGATATCATTTACAGCTGCTTTTTCATATAAAAATAGAACTCGTTATTGGTCGTAATTGGTCATTGATCATTTGCAAAATAATTTTGCAAAAACACATTCTGATTGCACACACAAGTACTCTGAAGTTGAAATCAAAAAGATGCTTGAGTTTCTGATTGACAATATCTATGTGGTTTTTGGAAACCAGGTCTTCCAACAATCTGTTTGAATCCCCATGGGTACTGATTGCGCTCCGTTATTAGCAGACCTATTTTTGTATTCATATGAAGTAGAATTTGTGCAAAATCTTATGCATGAAAAGAAGGAAACATTTCCTGTGGCCTTCAACTAGACATTTAGATATATCGACGACGTATTGTCAATTAACAATGGTAATTTCCATACCTATGTCTATACGATGTATCCTGGAGAGCCTGAGATAAAAGATACCACAGAGTCTGACACAACTGTTTCAAACTTGGATATTTTACTTGAAAAGGAGGTAAATGGTAATCTAAGAACCATGTTATATGATGAACATAATAACTTAAACTTTTCTATCGTCAACTTTCCTTACTTATGAAGCAATATACCTTCATCACCTGCATACGGAGTGTATATATCTCAGCTGCTTCGATACGCAAGTACTTGTTCTACGTATATATGAACAATTTCTAAAGCGAGGTAAAATATTGACAAGCAAGTTGATGAAACAAGAATATCAGCAGTCTCGTTTATTAAAGTCATCATTTCGTAAGTTCTATGGTCGATACAATGACTTTGTCAGCAAATACAATTTATCATTAAGTCAAATGCTGACTGACGTTTTTCATACCAATTGTTAGTCCATTATTTATACACTGAATTGACGACGGATTTTTCCCGTTATTTCCTGATCATGACAAGGAGCACACGGCGGGTGTGACCGGTCGGCAGGGGATGCTTCGGGGGTCCGTGTTTGCTCTGCTATTATTTTGTATTGTTTTATGGACTTTGAGACTGAATACTGTTCGTTATCTCCATATCCTTCTTTCAAGTAAATTATCAAATTATGAAACAGATGTGTCCGATTCTTTGGTGTCTTTTATTATAAGCTCACCGGGATATATCGTATCGACATACGAATGGAAATAGCCATTGTGAATTGACAATACGTCGTCGATATATCTAAATGTCGAGTTGAAAGCCACAGCAAGTGTCTTCATTTTTGATTTTGGATAAAGAATCAGGGGCATTAAGGCCCTAAATATGCCCCAACCATAATGGACCAAATATTATAAATATTAAACGAATTATGATTGAATCACACCTTTTCAGACATATATTGATGAAAAAACCACTATTAAGACATTTTGGGGTCAATACAAATATAACACATTTTTCACTGATTTCTGGAAATTCTTAATAATTTTTCCCCCTGTAAATATGATTAAAGAAATAAAAGATGGATGTTTAATACAAGTACAGCAGAAATGATCTTAAACATGTGAATAGAAACTATTTTTTTAGCTAAAAGTGGTAAAAAAACGGATTTGAATGTAAAACAGTTGTTTTTGTCCCCAGTTTTCGCGAAAGCGGGGGGACATTAAATCTCATTCGTCTGTCTGTCAGTCTGTAAGTCTGTCCGTCACAAAGACTTTAACCTTGCCCATAACTTTTGATTTAGTGGAGCTATGACTTTCATATTACACATGTGTATTCCTTGTAACAAGACCTTTCTTTGGGTACCACCAAATTTGACCTTTTGACCTTGACCTTTGAGTTTAACCCACTTTTACACAAAAATTCCAAACTTTTACTTTGGCCATAACTTTTGAATGGTAGGTACTAGGACTTTCATGTTTCACATATGTATTCTTTGTGGCAAGACCTTTCATTGGATACCAACAACCTTGACCTTTTGACCTTGACCATGGAGTTTCACGTACTTTTGAAAAAACTTTAACCTTGACCATTACTTTTGAACGGTGAGGACTAAGGCTTTCGTACTTCACATATGTAATCCTTGTAAAAAGACCTTTCATTGGATACCAACAACTTTTACCCCTTGACCTTGGAGTTTTAACTACTTTTTAAACTTTAACCTTGGTCACAACTTTTAAACAGTAGATACTAGGACTTTTATTTTTCACATATGTATTCTTTGAGTCAAGACATTTCATTGGATACCAACAACCTTTACCTTTTGACCTTGACCTTTGAGATTTACGTACTTTTGAATAAACTTTAACCTTGACCATAGCTTTTGAAATGTGAGAGCTAGGGCTTTCCTCTTCACATATGTAATCCTTTGGGAAGAACTTTCATTGGATACCAACAACTTTCACCCTTTGACCTTGACATTGGAGTTTTCATTACTTTTAAAAAACTTTAACTTTGGTCACAACTTTTGAACGATAGATAATAAGACTTTCATATTTCACATATATATTCTTTGTGGCAGGAGCTTTAATCAGGTCGAGACCACTACATTATATGGAAGGCAATTTTCAACACGTGACGATGTCTTCGTCACGCCCATTCTCCAATCAAGTGAAAGATTCCCAAAGCATAACAGTCTACCACGTGTTTACGATTCAATGGCTACACGTGGTTTTCGTCGGTTTACTGCACAAAATTTAACTCGTCACCGGAAAAACTGTAGAGCTTCTTTATAACTTTATTAGACCGAAATTGAAAGATTATATTCTGAAGACACTGCTCCATGCTCACATTTAATATTGGAGTTGTTTTAGATGATTAACAGTTGCTTCGAATATCGTACTTACGCTTTGACTTTTGCATATACATAAAACACTTTCTGATAATATTTAAGGGTGAATAATAATCGCACACTTTCTCCTGCTGTCTAAAAACAAGGACCTATATACTACCTGCGAAAGCTATATACACGTATATCACGTGAAAAAAACTCAATGTTTTATCGACACGATAGCACTTATACGTCTCTTTGAACAATGGTATACTAGGCTGATGTATTATAAGTTGATATAAGGCTTCAAAAAGCAAATTTTGTAAATGTGAGCATAAAAATGAAAGATTATACATCATTTTAAATATTTCTTTCAAAAATTTCAAAAAAAAAATAGAAAATAAGTTTCCAATGGACAATTCAAATTGCCTTTAATTTTCAACACAGCCAGGTACTTGTAGTAGCCCACAATGCATTGCGGCTCATTCAGCTGTAGGTAAAGTAAACATATTAGCTAATTTACATGCAAATTTATTCTGACGTCAGAAAATCTAGTGGTCTCGACCTGTTAATTGGATATCAACACCTTTGACATTGACCTTAAAGATTTACGTACTTATGAATAAACTTTAACCTTGGCCATAACTTTTGAACGGTAATGGCTAGGACTTTCATACTTCACATACATAATCCTTGTAAGAAGACCTTTCATTGGATGTCAACAACTTTGACCCTTTGATCTTGACCTTGGAGTTGACCTACTTTAAAAACTTTCACTTTGGCCATAAGTTTTTAACGGTCAGGATTAGGGTTTTCATCCTTCAAAAAAATCAACTTCAATGATAATTTCTAAATAAATGACATATGATAGGGTGTTCATATTAGACGCAATATGTCATAAAAAATAACATCTCACTCACAAAGACACCGAAAGCGGGGCACCACAATTGTTTGAATTTGCTTGTATGTATTTAACATAAAAATACATTGAATGCACAAAGTGAACAAACAAGAAATGTATTCAACTAACATTTTTAATAACAATTCATTAAACTTGACAAAAATAACAATAAGGGATTTCAGTTTGCATAAACAAATTCCAGAACTCCCATTACCCACCTATACTTTTTCCAAAAAGATCATAGAAGTTTAACATCACACCACTCATGCCTTATACACTACATTTACTCATAATAAGATAATGTTTATCATCCTCACAATGTCATAAAAATGACCTAAGCATCAAAGAATTAGTTATTCTAGTACATGTTTGTCTGGAAAGGTTTTGTAATTACATTGTATTACAAAAAATAACACGTACTTATATACAGTCATGTTAATTATTAACAAAGTTCAATATGCAAATAAACACACTGCATAATAAACTATAATTGTTACTATTATCTGAGAAACATTTTGTGATGCATTATGCATTTTACATCAGTATATTAATTTTGATAACAATTAATCATACGATAATAACAAATTATTTCATTTGTCAAAGTACATAATTCATCTTTCAATATTTACAACCGAACTTATTAAACTCATGCAATGAATCTAATATGTTTTTGGGATGTACAATGTACTATATTTTAATTTCTCAATTATATGACAGATGTTAAGAAATCACAATTTAAACATAAAAAAAACATAGATACATAAAAATCCCTATTTACTATTAATTAATAACAATATATACACAGCCTTCCACTATATTGTTGAAAACAATAATGGGAGTCTAATGCAGTGGATATCATAACCTGCAGATTGATTGATTGATTGTATATTGTTTAACGTCCCTCTTGAAAATTTTCATTCATATGGAAACACCTATAATCTGCAGAATGTTCACTTTCAATAAACCAATGTCACAATTCATGTCACTCTTCCGTTGCACTCATTTCACTTTCTGTTGAGCCATCCATTACTGCAGGTTGCACAGCTGCATCCTCAAGGTAGTCAGCCCAGTCTTGAATAGGTCTTACTGCAAAGTTCGTGTGTCTTTCATAGCCAAGAAACCACAACACTGAGGCCACATGGGCACGACACTGACAATACCAACAAGTAACAGCTCCAGTAACAGGATATTGTTTTGGACCATCTCCAGGCATCCTACAATTAAAATATAAATATCAAAATTAAATTACTATAATATATATATTATGTATGCACATTTTGTCTATAACTATGGAATGAGGGAGGTTACTTGTACAGTGTATATACATTTGCATAAGATTTTCTTTATGTATGAGAAAAAGGGAATAATTTATTAATATCACCAGGTATAATATAAAATTATTTCATTCATGAAATCAATTTAAATAGCAGTTTTATTGATTTACCTATTTGAGTTTAATGAATAAAATCTGAGGCAAGGACATTATTGGGTACTTTAAATTAAAACAAAAAAAGATGAACCTTGTAATGACAAAATTTCTTTTTCATTTAAATGGTGATTTAAATGAATTTATAAATATTCCAAGGTAATCTAATTATTTTTTTTTAATACTTGCAATAGTTTAATTTTACATTAATAATATTTTAATTAATAAGTTAAAAAAAACAACAAAAATACATTGTTCCCACAAGAAAAATAGAAAGAATTTATACTGTTTATTCTGCAAAGAACATTAATTAGATTTAGTGATATTACCCTATTTTTAAGAAAGCAATTTTTTTTTATTTCTTTAACGGTTTAACATTAAAAAAAACAAACAAACAAACAAACAAAAAAACCTCTTACCATTTTTTTTATATTTTTGACTGTTATAGCACACCATACATTTACACAAAGTACACAGGTACCAGGGTAAGGTCTCTTGAATTGAACTTGAATACACAAACGCTAGACTCGGTTGTATTTGTACTCAGACAGAAAAATATGTTATAAACACCAACCTAGAAATGTAGTATATTTATATTTTAATGCCGTAGATGTAAAGATTTTCACAACTGATAAAACGCGGCTAATCATGCAGATCAACCGGCCGATCCAGGCCGGGTTCATGAATCATAAATATTAGGGCGTAAATCAAAAAGAATCGATGATTAAGTCATTTTTTTATAATCTATTTTTTTCTTTGAAAGAAGATAGCATGTTGTGTTCCTGTTTGATATATTTGAGATACACATTTTCTATTTTCAACTATTTGACATGCATGTGATGATTACCCCCCCCCCCCCGAGTTCATGGAGTTAGCGGAGTCTGTCATGTCGAATCTTCTATCATTTATAAGTATAGGAGGGGATTTAATTTTGAACAGTGCATGTAAAATTACAATTGCTCTGATTTTCAATTCATCCCTACCTGTTAAATGGTTAGAACTTCGATAAATCTACTGTCACATTTTCTGTTTCCTCCAACTTTGTTCACCTGTTGTTTACGTCTGAATATAAAAACCGAAACCGGAAGCGATCAAAATCGGCCTAAAAAAACATCGTTTTATATATTTTTCATGGTGGCCGCATGCAAACAACAGAATGATACTCTGGGAAATAATTTATTGTGCAATTTTAAACAATCTATTAAATTTTTATCGTGTTGTTTGCGTGCGGCCATATCTAAATCTTGTTTTGAATGTGAGAATTTGATGGAAATTTCTCAATTCCGGAAAAATCACACAACTTCACATCGTGATAACTCAACTACAAGTCAAATGTTGAAATTTTTATTGCTATTTACATCAAACTGGACATCTCTTTATATGAAAAATAAACCAGCTTAAGGATAGCACTGGTATAAAATTTTTTTTTAAAAATTGGGCAGCTCATATATGCTTACTGCCCCTGATTCTTTGCTTCATATGTATACAAAAATAGGTCTGATAATAACGAGTTCCATTTTTATTTTACAAAAGCAGCTGTCAATTATATATATATATTTTTTAAATTGGACTTTAATTTATAATGGCGTTAGTTTTTAAGCTGTTGGATTTGATAAAATCGTGTGATTTCAAATTGTCCAAAAGTTCCTTCAATTGGAATCTTTTAGTATTCACATCTGATTTGCACCACTTCTCGAGTACATATTGTTGCAAGGTATTATTGTGGTTTCTCCTTCACTAATGTCAATATCTTAGTGTGGAGTAAAGAAAGAGGTTTGGCTGAACATTTACTGGAACCCGCTATGTATCTTTGTTTGTAAGGATTTTTATGAAGTTTCGGAATCCAATATAGATATGGTAATTTAAAAATTCAGTTTGGTAGTTTAGAATACTAAGTATTAAAGATATTCAAAAGAATAAAAACTGATACGTGATTTTGAAGAATTTTTTCCTTAAAAAAGGAACTATAAGTAAAAGCTGGACTACCACTGGTATAACTCCAAGTTCTTCTAACATACTATTTAAATATAATGAGCCTTACTAATAAAGTCAATTTTGTTAACTGCTTTGTCAGCAGGGATCAATACGTACTGATTATGTAATCTATCTAAATTCTAACTTACTTAGTATTCAAAAATCCAGAGTATGCTCAAAATACGGTTACTTTCAAGTTGAAACCGAGACTGGCTACTGTATTTGAGTCAGAGGAATTTCAAAATCCTCGTCTATGGTTGTTTTATTGACCTTGCATTTAAACCAAATACACGAGGGGTGATCAAAAAGTTGGCGAACTATCTCTATATTTAGAAAACTGCGATTCAGATCAGAATGGAATTTGGCACACCTTTAGTCATGTTCATGTTTTATAAATAGCATATGAAAAGTAATCATTTTCTCCATCATTGTGACGTCACATTGTGCAAATGACGTCAACATGTAGGGGACTCGTGACGAAAAATGGTTTCGCAGTCTTACTCGAGCAACGAACGGCTGTAAAGTTAAGCGTATAACTTGGGAATTACTTTGAAGTATCTTTTAATAATGTGTACAAGATTTATGAAAACAATAAACTCCTTAGACGTTCAATCATAAATTGAATTGACTGTTAAAATAAAAGGGGGGTGATGATTAAAAATGAACTTTGTTTTGTAGCTCAGCGAAGGCAAGCTGGGGGAAAGAGATGTGTCCTTTGTGGGACAATTTGTTATGAAAGATCGCGAACTTACAGCTAGAAAAATATTTGAATATCTTAACAATGATATTATTATTACATTGGCGTCGGAAGCAAATTGAAAGTGGGGGGGCTAAGTGTAAGAAAAATTTTTTTGTACCTCCAAAAAAACCTGACAAGCAAAAAAAAAAAAAAAAAAAAAAAAAAGGAAATGTCTATTTCCCAAACACGAAAATCCTATTTCGTGGGGGGGGGGGGGGGGGGGGGGGGGGGGGGGGGGGGAACTAGTACCAACAAATTTTCTTCCAAACACCAATACTTTTACCACTTTTAACCTATACTAAAACATATCTATGGAAAGTGGGGGGGGGGGGCTAAACTTACGAAGATATGTTCAATGTCTATACTAAGTATATATTGGGAAAAAAAAACTAGTACCAACAAATTTTCTTCCAAACACCAATACTTTTACCACTTTTAACCTATACTAAGACATGTCTATGGAAAGTGGGGGGGGGGCTAAACTTACGAAGATATGTTCAATGTCTATACAAGTATATATTGGGAAAAAAAGTGGGGGGGCTAAGCCCCCCCTAGCCCCCCCGGTTCCGACGCCTATGTATTAAATCCCTAAAACACAATTTACTTTAGACGGTAAACATATTAAATATGATAAAAAGAAGGTTCCTTTACTACATATCCATATTGGAAAACCGACGTTCCTAAGACAGAGGACACGGATTGTAATGGTCACCATGCTCTTTCTGAGAAAGAGTGTCCATATCAAACCATTCTATTTCCGAGATTTGATCATTTCTGACAAATGGACTGTTCTTGTTATAAAAAGATAACTTGCATGGTAGGAAATATAAGACTCGGGTAAATATTTTAGCATCTATGATTAAAATGCGTCAGGGTATGTCACGTAACCGCCTGGATCACGTGCTTCGTGCATGGGCAGAACGGTGGTAAATTGTCTATGCATTTTTAAAATGTCAGAAAGGGCTACTCTAAAAAATAGTGAACACTGCAATCTGATTTCTTTGTTTTACGGAAGTTATTCAATTTGTTGAACTGTTTGCGAACTTTTTGATCCCCCCTCGTGCTTTTTGGTCGAAGTTTGGCTGAAATGTCCGTATCTATCATACCAATTCTGTTTTTGTTTTATAGACCATGCATTATTCCGTGTACTGATTGATTTAAGGAATAACTGTCTTATTTTTCGAATTCATGAAGTGATCAATGGATTGGCTTGTGTGATAATTTGCATAAACGCCGAAGGCGTTTATGCATAAAATTATCACACAAGCCAATCCATTGATCATCTTCATGAATTCGAAAAATCTGACAGTTATTCCTTATATTTACATGCTTTGATTCCGCCAATCCACGGGCTTCATGCCTGCTTCTCCCTATGTGTTGTCCCGCCCTGCACGTGGTTTTTTTTGGAACCGCGCCAAAACATTCATGAGGAAATCAATTACATTTACCTCGGACAAAGACATTGGAAATGTAAATATTCGAATATGTGCTAAGTGACTATGAGAAATACTAGATTTCTAGCTATGAAGCTTTAAAAGTATACACCAGCCCTCCCACACAAAATAGGTTTTTCACGTTTGGGAAAGGAGTTCACGGTTGTTTTTTTTCTTCTGTTTTTTTTTTTTTTACTTACTTACTTACTTACTTATCCTCCCCGTGCCCCGGAGGACGCATGAGGCCGTTCTACAATGAACACCACTTACGGCGGTCACTGGCAACAGCCTGCCCCTCCTTCCAACTGTTCCAGCCCATTTCTTCCCTTTCTCTCTCAACAGAGCGTCATCGGGTGTTCTTTGTCCGTCCTCTTCGTCTCTTTCCCTCAGTGGCCCATGTGAGAGCTGTTCTCATGTGTGAGCTATCTTCCCTTCGGAGGATGTGGCCTATCCATCTCCATCTTTTTCTTTTGATTGTGCTTGATAGAGGTATAGATCTTGTTCTTTCATATAGTTGTTGGTTTGTTATCTTTTCAGGCTTTTTGCTTGTTAAGAAATTTCTGGGCTGAATTTCTTTTTTGACTGGGTGTCCCCCCCCCCCTGGAAAAAAAATCATGGATCTGCGATTTTTCGTTTTAACGAATTTAATTCCTTATTTATTTACGATTTCTTTAATTCTTTATTACGAATTCAACAATTTTTAATAACATATTACATTCATTTTAAGGAATACAAAGAAATCGTCATAATATCGAATTAAATTCGTACATGTAATAACAAAATCGACAACTCGTTTCATCGAATTCAAAATTATTTTTGATAGGTCCTAAATGGGTTTCCGTAGAGGTATGTTTCGATCTATTTAATACTGAAGTATTTGTGAAAGTGTTGTTTTGTTATCATATCATTATTTATTTAGTTTTAATTCGTGTAATCTAATTGTAAATTAAGAATTTGAGATTTTTTTCAGTTAAACTCTGATACGCATCTATATTTGCAGTATAGCGAATAAATAATCAAACTCTTCAACTTAGATCATTTCATTGTGCCCTATCAAAGAGCAAGGATACATGAGTTCAAAGGAACTTTCTTGTAGAATCACTTATGGGCCTAAAACGGTCCCTCTTTTTCCTGACGTCTTCTTATCTTTAAATCCTGGATCCGCCACTGTGCATATTATGAAAATTACATTCGATCGGAGCATCCCTTTGGTGGTATACGTAAGATGAACTTGACAGATTCCATCATATTGACCATTTCCAGTATAGATACAGAAATGAAGTAAGTATTTTATCCGTGTTGAACATCAAAACATTTTTACATGTATCTACATAGTTTTGCTATATACTGATAATATCAGTGAAGAAATTGAAAAAGAGGAAAATTTCCATTTCAATCTTTATTTTTATTTTGTAATGTATAAGTCGAGGAAATATTCTTAAATAAATGCGATAAATTAAATTGAAATTCACAATCTTGTTCTAGAGATTTTAAGAAATATATTGTAGGGATTTAAGAACAAGAAGGATAACTCTTTCTTATTTACATTATACAAGAATTCAATTTCCGATCATTTTGAATGAAATAAGGCATTTGCAAAAAATTTAATGATGCCAACAAAAGACCATAATTATAATGGTTTAATTTTCTCCTCAATTTTAAATTACTCAACTGATTTTGCTGAAACTTAAGAATTATATTATTAATATATATGAAGAAAAATTTAAAAATATAAAAATGGTAAATTTTTAGAGCATAAATAACTAGTATATAAAACGGTGAATTAACAGGTATGTATCGGAGCGTGTGTCCTGGTGACACTCTGAACATTGATCGCTGGAAATTCGGCTGATCTGTCCAGTGCTTGTCCCTATTATGCACACATTCTGGATCGTGGAGCTCCCGCTGCCCCGACGCACGGTCGAGCTCTTCTCTAAATTGGTCCTTCACAGGGCCGTGGGTATAAATGTACGACCTGGCTTCTGAAATTTACAAAATTAGGGAAGTTGGGGGAACTCATAACTATTTCTGACGCTCTAACACGGTCCTACCATGTGGGTAGGTTGCCATATTTTTTGCTTGCCAGAAAAGTTCTCATTGTTTGCCTATATCTTTATATCTTTTTCTGTATTGTCTATTTTCGTTATAATAACATCTTTAACAGCAATATAAATTCAAGTTACTTTTAATTATCTATTTGTCTATTAGGTATGTAACCATGATAACTATCCTAAAATAGGCAGGTTATTCTTCAGAATATGCAAGCGTTTTTGGCACCGAGATTTGAAAACGCATAATAAGCAAGGGAGTTACCCGTCTGAGCTGAGGCGTAATAGAAGAAGAGCTTTTCATGAAAAGTGTTGGTTGGATACCTGTCTGTGATATTTAAAAGTAAGTTGCAAACACCTGGCACAGGATATGATTATCTTTAACATACAGTGAAGTATTATTTGTAGCACAACAACTATAACACAAGGAACTGCGAAAGTGAAAGTAGAATTATACATGTAGGCCCTGAGCTGGATGTTTTCTTGTCAAAAGGCCGTTGGAACGCAATTAATTGCACCCTTTCTTAGAAAAATCTTTAAAATAGCTCAGGGTGATTTATTTAAAACTGAGGAATAATGCAACAGAACCACCAACCAAATTAAGTCAAAGGTGCTTGGTTCTGGTTTCAGGATGGTGTATTTTGTGTATTACCAATTAGCTGCAGAACTATAGCATTTTGGTTTTATATTTTAGTCTTGGACAATAACGCTACAGATCCTGTAATGCAAATAATGTACAATTAACGGTGCAAGATTTCCAGCAGACTTTTGGGGAGAATTTCTCCACTTTTGAGCATTGGTCGATTAACTACCTTTCACTCCCTACTTTTAGATACTTTTTCTTAACAACCTGTATATTTTATTCACCTCCTGACCCTTTATAGTCGTCTCTACAGACCTATAAACTCGCTTGTTTTAAATTTCCCACATCTGACTACAATTCATATGGGGGCTGCCTCAGGCCTCCACTGGTGGGGGGTTCATGGGGTCTTACCCCCTGAGGAAATATGGATATTTAAGTGCCAGTGCAATTTCAGTGATTTTTGATTTTTATATTTATGAATGTATTCAGACAATCGTAGAAAACACATAATACACAAAATATGTCATCCTTAAACCAAGTATCTATGCCAAAAATGCAGATATAGTTATCCATGTCTAATACATCATGATCTTCTGGCTCATTCATGATAAATCTGCAATTTTCCCCTTTCCTCCCTGCATAGCAACAACCCTGTGCTTGATTTTGTTTGCATGCATTATTGTATGTCCAACGTCATTTGTCAGTCATCTACCAAAACAACTTATGTTTAAAGGGTGGTTGGAAGGGGAGGATTATGGAGGACATCTTTTACTCACTTTGTCTTTAATTTTCAAACATGCACAATCACTCTCACTGCCACATGTTTCTGATATGTTAATACGTCTTACAGAAGCTTTCTGTGTTCTTAGACATGCCTTGAGTTTTACTGTAAACATTCAACAATTGGGCAGACTTGATTTAGCTTAACTTCAATTGTACCATTCTCAACCATAAACTTTAAAATATAAGACAGATCACCAACACTTCGTGAGGATGCAGCAGCAAATTTATTTTGTTGACCGGTTTCGACCTGTGACGGTCATCATCAGAATATTCTCAACCATATTGGATTCAGTGCCACACCTTTCAACACATGCTCTGATTTTGGTTAAAGAGAGTGTACTGGATTAAGAACAGTGTACTCAGTGCCAGTAAATCAAGTTTGTCCAATAATAGTCAGTTTATTTTGATGCCTTATGCTCATTAATTTTCATAAGTTCCTCAGGTACATTGCTGCTAAAATTTTTATGAATAATGAATTATTAAATATCTCATTTTACAGTTGTTGGCAGAAATATTGATAGTCAAGTTTGAAGTTTCTCCCCACCTATCCCCAACCCTCACCCTATTCATGTGGCAATGAACACAATTTATTTTCATATGCTTGAATGTATGTTATATCCACTCATTAGAATAAAATTTTAATTTTTTTAGGACTTCCAAGAGACTATAGAGAGAAAAAAATTAAAAAATTACAACATGTTTAACAACGCAAAAAGGTAGGATTCCTATACATTTCACAAACGATAATTTTTCTAATGTTTAAAGTTTTGTTTGAGAGCTGCTTAGACTGGATTAAGTTGGTGCAATTTCTTTTTGTCACTTTGAATAAAAATTAAATTTTCAAATGATATTTTGTTTTATTTTGATATGTACGTATTGAAGTATTGTATGGCAAGTCAAACGTTGCAATTTTCAATCTTTTCCATTTGTATTGTAAAATTTTCCATTTGTATTGTAACATTTTTATTTGTATTCTATAATTTTTATTTGCACTGTATAATTTTCCATTTGTATTCTATATTTTTAAATTTGTATTGTATAATTTTTCATTTGCATGATATATTTTCCATTTGCATTATATATTTTCCATTTGCATTGTATAATTTTTCATTTGCATTGTATATTTTTCATTTGTATTTATTAGGTCACCTGAGTAAACTCAGGTGACCGATTGCTATCTGTTTTCGTCCGTCGTCGTCCGTCGTGTGTTAACATTTGAACATTTTCAGCTTCTTCTCTGCAACCACTGAACCAATTTCAACCAAATTTGGCACAAAGCATCTATGGGTGAAGGGGAACAAAAATTGTGAATTTCATGATCCCTGCCCCCCTGGGGCCAAAGGGGTGGGGCCACATTCATTGGCTATCAATTATAATGGCCGATGTCTCTGCACTATGTGATCTGTTTTGGTTTCCCCGAGACTTTTATATTTCTACGTCAGCGAGACTTTTTATCAGCCAATGATTCATTGAATGATTGTATGTTGTTTAACGTCCCTCTCGAGAAATTTTCACTCATATGGAGACGCCACCACTTGCCGGTGGACAGCTACAAATTTTGTCCTATACTCAGCACTCAGGGCCATTGAGCAGTGAGGGATCTTTTTTGTGCCAGCACCTACTGCGACACGGGACCTAGGTTTATTCGGCCACATCCGAAGGACCGGTCTCCACATCCCACAGTGATTGGAACCCACAACGTAAGGATTGACTCCTTACGTCACAACTCTAGAGCAGACGCTCTAACCACTGCACCACGTGGGCAACCATCAGCCAATGAGCACGGTCCAATACAGTATTTGTCACCTGTCTGTATATCGAGGGTCAGACAGGAAAGTCAGTCTATGCTCAGACTGATTAACATGTGTAAACTTCCCGGAACATCTTGGGTATTACCAAATCCGATATATATGATTAGTTTAAGCAGTGAAATCCCTCGTAACAATTAAACCAAAATAAACAATCCCTCGGATACAATGCAAATGAAAAATTATACAATACAATTAGAAAATATAGAATACAAATTTAAAAAATACAAATGATCTTTCTATACAATATAAATGAAAAATTAAACAATGCAAATGAAAATTATACAATGCAAATGAAAATTTATACAATGCAAATGGAAAATATAGAATGCAAATGAAAAATTATACAATACAAATGATTTTTTCTAATATAAATGAAAAATTTACAATGCAAATAGAAATTATAGAATACAAATAAAAATTATACAATACAAATGAAAATTTTACAATACAAATGGAAAAGATCGAATATTGCAACTTTTGACTTGCCATAGTATTGGTATGGGTCATTGCTAACTAATTTATTCAAGAATGGTATTATTTCACAACATGCAATTACATTTAGTGCCAGAAAAAATATACATTAATATTTATGAGAAAATACACATACATTCAGTCATTCACTTATAGCTTTGAAATACGTCTTTACCTGGATTATAGGTCAGTGTTCGAGTTTCTTGGGTTAGAAACAGAGGAGGAGTTACCTGAGGATATCAAAAAGGAACTGAAAGAGCGATGGCGGGCAAGGAGGAAAAGGACCCTCCTGATTGCCCCGGAAAAGGGGCAAGGAGACGAGGTGGATGCCCGCACCACTCGGAGGATACCACATAAAAAACCAAAGAAAGCTGTAGCAAGACTCTTATTGGACTCCTCAGCTAACGCAATGGTCAGAATTTATACTTATTGTTTACTTATGATAGATCCCATATGATACTTAACTGTTATAAAATGATAAAAACCATTAAGTAAATACATGCACTTTCATATGTACCGGGTATCTGATTAAAAAGACAGACGACTCAAAATTATGGCTAAATACATACTTGTATGCTAGCTTATGAAAATTACTTTGAAGTGGATTTATTTTTTTTAAAAGTCAGTCTTTAAGGTGATTTCTTATTGTAAAGGAAATTAATTTACATACGAAAGCCAATGTATGTCCTAGAACATGAATTACATAAGGGGAAGGAATATGGCACATTCCATAAATGTAATACTGTAAAAACACATATTTTAGAGGGGTCAAATTTTCGAGGTTCGGGGGAAAAATCTTGGTTTGTTGGGATTTAATTTCGTGGTTGGAAAAAATGTGTAGTAGTAATGCATGTCAAATTTTACATTTAGTGAAGGTCATAAATTCGTGGGTCTCTACATACCCTGAAAACAATGAAAATTAACCCCCCCCCCCCCACAAAAATTAATGATTTCACAGTATCCTCTTTTGAGGTCAGTGGCCTTTTTTAGGTTGAATGTAGGTACAACGGTTATTTCCACAATGCTTGGACTTCTTTGTTATGAAAACTGAATAAAATAAGTAAAAGGTGTTGGTACATGTTGGAATATTTAGTGTTAAAAATTATCCAGATAATTTTTTTTTTTACTTTATACTAACAGTACGTGTATAAGTATGATTACATACAGTATGTTTTCTCAAGTCTTGCACAAATGGCAAGAAAACAAAAGAAAATTGCCACAAAGTATCAATTTTTTTTATCTTGCAGAAAAAATTCAATTAATTGTGCTATTGCAGATTCTAGCCTATGAGAACCGATACTAGGTGAAAATTTGTTGTGTGTATTTATATATAGAAAACTCCTATATTGTAGGGATTATCAAAAGAAAAGAGGAAAACAACAGAAGGGGAACCACTGAGAAGCTTTGCCCCGGCAACGTTGGACAAGCATCCTAAACCTACTTTTGATGAGGTTGGTCAAGATTGTAATGACAGAACAAGTTGTTTTTTTTGTATTACTGTAAATTCCGAAATATACATGTGGAATAAATTATTGGTAATTTTGTGAGGAGCACCACACGAAAAAAAATAAAATTACTCGCTTTTATTATTATAATTATGGTGCTGAAATTTATGTAAAATCTCTTGATTAACCGTCCATTTGCAAATAATTGTTCTCGCGATTTGCCATTGAATAGCCAATTCACGATATTAAGTACTCCTGAAAATATGGAATCTACAGTATTGATACTGCATACAGGAAATATTTTGCCCCCATTTGATTTTTGCTCCTTGTGTCCAACTCACAAATAGGTGAATGTGAAAAGGCCAAAATAACCCTGTAAATGCAGTATTTTTATTCCCCCCTTCAAAGAAGGGAGGGCATATTGCTTTGCTGCTGTCTGTCGGTTGGTATGTCGGTCTGTCGGTCCATTTAGTTTCCGTTCATTTTTAGCTCTACTGGTCAGAGACCAGAAGAGCTTATGCGATAGTAATGCGTCCGGCGTCTGTCTAGCTGTCTGTCTGTCCGTTTGTCTGTAAACAATTTTTCAAAACGCTACTCCTCCTACAATTTTAGTCTGATTTCAATATTATTTGGCACACAAGTAGACTACACTAAGATACATAGAATAGTGCACTGGTTTTCAATTTCGATGAACGGTGTTGCCATGGTTACTAAAAATAGAATTCTCTGTGAAATTCCTTTAAAACGCTACTCCTTCTACAGTTTTGGTCTGATTTCAATATAACTTGGCAGACAAGTAGACTACACTAAGATACAAAGAATAGTGCATCGGTTTTTGACTTCGATGAACAGTGTTACCATGGTTACTAAAAATAGAATTCTCTGTGAAATTCCTTTAAAACGCTACTCCTTCTACAGTTTTAGTTTGATTTCAAAATAAGTTGGCTCACAAGTAGACTACACAAAGATACATAGAATAGTGCAATGGTTTTTGATAAGTACAAACCAGTAGAGCTACAGTCTCGACAGAGGCCTCTGGTTTTCAAAACCGTTGCACATACTGAAATGAAATTTGGTATACAGGTATATCAGATGAATATCTAGGTCAAGTTTTGTTTTAGAAACGATAGCACCATTTTTGACAGAGTTATGCCCCTTGGACTTAGAAAAAATTCCAATTATTTGCAGTTTCCGTTCATTTTCTTCAGAGAAGTTGCACATACTGAAATGAAATATAGTATACAGATTTGTCAGATGAATATCTAGGTCATGTTCTGTCATTTTTGACAGAGTTATGCCCCTTGGACTTAGAAAAAATTCCAATTATTTGCAGTTTCCGTTCATTTTCTTCAGAGAGGTTGCACATACTGAAATGAAATTTAGTATACAGATTAATCAGATGAATATCTAGGTCAAGCTTTGTTTTGGGTATGATCATGCCATTTTTGACAGAGTTATGCCCCTTTGGACTTAGAAAAATCCAATGGGGGGCATAAGTGTAAATAAAAACAGAAAATTTGGCAATAGGAATAAAAAAAAAAAACACACATCAATTTAATGATTTTTTTGTACTAGAAATGGTTAATATATGCTGACATGTTTACTCCTTAAATTTATACGTACATTCAAACTTCCTTATATCGAACCAGACGGGGTTGAGAAACTTTGAGAAGCCGCCGAGGGAAATAGTTTCCTGCCGAGGGAAACCATAAATTTGCTATTTCCCGAGTTCCTATTCCATAACTGTTTTATTATACCAAAACAATCATAGGCGAATTTTTTTAAAAACCAGATATTCCCACATTTAAAAAAAAAAACACTATAGAGACATAATCACAAATGCACACAGTTTAAGGGATAACTAAATAATGCATTGTGTCCTAGAACAATAAATTACAGTATTTAAAAAAAAATATTTTCACTGACATTGCAAAGAATTGTCGTTGTCTTCATTTTGCTAGAATTCAAGTATGATTTTGACTTCGCATGTCGAAATGTTTTGACGTCGTAGTTACATTGCTAATAACATGACGTCTTAAACTCGAGGTTCCTTGAACGCTCCGCCCACTGAACACTTTGATTGGTTAAAATTACTAATAAATATTCATGAGGGAGTAGTCCCAGGGAGTAGCTCTGATTTTCCAGGGAGTAGTCTTCAGATGAGGGAAAAAGTCTCTTCTCGGGGAAATAGACAGTTTTATGGTATTAATTTTATGAAGAGTAATTACAGTAGAGGTATAATAACAAAATCTATACCCTTGGGTATAGCTTTGCTATGGGTGAACTATAAAAGATAGTTATTTTACCTTCTGAACTTTATATAGGAAACATTTTAACAGAAGTATAATATTATCAAATATTATACATATGCATAGAAATTTAGATATACATGTACTACATTTATTTTATCATAGCCTTGGAAGACAGAGGTGTTTTTTGATGACAAAGAGGCAATAGAGTAAGTTCTGAAATTTTATATCTGTACATACTGTATATTGTTTTAATTCTATGGTGTTAAAATTTGACGATATCTCAAAAAGTACCAATCGTGATGGTTTTAATTTCACGATGCAGGAAAGTAATTCAAAAGTTCGTATAAGCATTTAAAGCTTCTAAAAACTAATAATGACATTCACGATGGGTTTAATTTCGCAGAAAAATGAGAAATTAAAATAACAAAATTAAAACCATCGTGATTATTGCCAATCTACAGTAAATAGAAATCTGAGTTTATCCATGCTTTGTGTCTGAATTGACTCGTTTTTTGTTTCAGTATTGTTGAGTCTAATGAGGATGAATTGGATTTTAGAATGGGCAAAAAAAAGAAAAGGTAGAATTATTTAACTCCAAAAATTAATCACTGAATATGAAAGTTATTGTAGAAATTATATTTTGAAAACTTTTTTGAAATACCAAAATTTCTCTGAAATATTTTTTCTAATCTGTACAACCCTCCAGGTTCAACTCTCTACATTAAATCTGACTACATGTACATGTAAATCCTGGCTATGTGTAGTGTAAAGGGGGGGGGGGGGGTCTACATCTAAGGTTATGGATGCTGAGTCTGTTGTTATGTAGTTTTCTGGTTTTGTAGTGTTAGTGGTGCTGCTCCTGGGGATGTTGAGCTGGATGTGGTGGGTGGGAAGCCGACTGTTGGAATGTCCTCTATGTCTCAGGATGTGGTGGACGCTGTGGTGTTACAGGTCCTAGAAGAAAACGTCTGTAAACTGCTCAGCTGTAGGTGGAAAGAGAAGAACTCTGTTATAGATGAAGACGATTTCATGAACAGGTAAATTCAGAAATCTCAGATACAAAGAGACACCTGTCCCAGCAGGTACTTGCTCTCCATTTTATACATGTATGTTGAAAACACTTTATATATGTTTGTTCACAACTTTCTGTTTTCTTTTGCAGACCTTACTTTACCTACTTTATCACCTTTGTACAAACAGTTATACTTATCTGTGCGTTGGCTATTTATGGAATTGGTCCTTTTGGGGTGGATGAGGTTGTCGTTCAGGATGTGGTGAGTAATTTATGGGATAAAAATGTAATAAATTTACAATAAATTACATGTGTAAATGATTTTTTTTAGCTCACAAGAACTGAAGGCTTAAGTGAGCTTTTCTGATCAAAATTTGTCAGTTGTCTGTTGTTGTTGGCATTGTTGTCCTCATAAACTTTTCACTTTTTCATCTTCTCAAGAACCACAGGGCCAATTTCAATCAAACTTGCCACAAAGTATTCCTGGGTGAAGGGGATTCAAGTTTGTTCAAATGAAGGGGCCACACCCTCTTCCAAGGAGAGATAATAAATGAATTACCGTAGTGAAATATTAATAATGGCATCTTTCATTAATCTTCAATTCAAGAACCACTGGGCTAGTAAAGATGAAACTTGTGTGGAAGCATCGTCATGTGGTGTAGATTCAAGTTTTTTTTTTCAAATCATGACCTTGGGGGGGGGGGGGGGGGGGAGTAGGGCCACAGCGAAAGTTCAAAATCGTAGGAAACAAGTTTGTCAAAAAAATATGTACTCTTGCTTTGTTAGTGTACATTCAATTTTGTTCAAATCATACCCCTCTCCCTTTTAGGGGTAGGTCAGGACTACTTATTCATTTAAACTTTTTAAAACTATGCTGTTTTTTTTTTTGTTTTTTCTTAGCCATGCAGTTACATGTATGATAATCCTTTCCGAATTAAGGCTTAAAGTGCATAAAAAATATATATTTTATTTTTGCTAAATTTTAATTTCAATATGTAATCCTTGTTTAATTTGCAGTCAACTTTTGATGAGGGTTTGATCAGGTATTATAATAAAGCATTTTTGTGATGTCACATGACTTTGTTGATCATGTGACGAACATTTATGATATTCTTAAATGTTGCACAAAATCGCAGCAGCACAAGTGCAAAATAAAATTATTGTGAAAAGTTTGTTACATAGATGAATTCATTGGGATCTCTGGTACATATAAATTGCTGGGGGCAAGTCTGAGTTTTACTTCTTAAGAAAGTATTTTATGAGAAACTCAACTTACCAACATAAGAAGGGATATTTTCCACTCTTTATCGTGATTTATGCAAAAACAGATAATTTACATGCAATCCCCCAGCAAAATTCAGTTTGAGAACATACTTCGCTTGTAGATTTACAAAGAATATTTTCAATTTATCCTTGTAATCACTTGTGCCAGTCAAATGTATAAAACCATTTCATAAATTTGAACTCTGTCTACAGTAAGTAAGGGGACCATTTCTCATTCAATTTTTTCGTTATTATTTGAATATGTGCATATGGGACAAGTAAAAAGGAAAAGAGAATTAAGAGATATGTAAATTTCAAATGTTCAACATTATAACAGCAATCTGTAGCTTAAAAAACAATCCTGACACTTGAATTAAACAACAAAGCCCCCCCCCCCCCCAAAAAAAAAAAAAATTATTACATGCCATGTGAAAGGAATGTAAAGATTTATGACACTTTCCCCATCATGTAAGCTCAAGTATGCAGAGACTTGATGTCATATTCTATTATGACATCATATCTAGGTAGTTCAGAGAAGTTAGTACACTTTGAACAGGTTGGTATTTTACGGACAGCCTTATCCTAGCTGCTCAGTGCTCAGGTGAGCGATGTGGCCCTGGGCCCCTTGTTTCATTTTCCTTCACAATAAAAAAAATAAAAGCTATGGGAAATTTCTTTCAGGTATTAAAACCAAATCTGGCTTTGGAAGCAGAGGCAAGGCGGGAGTTTGGAAACATGTGGTTAGGTCCTAGTCAGGCAAGTTCTTTTTTTTTTTGTAATTAACTCATATTTTTGTTCTTAAAAATGAAAATTAGTACTATTATTTTTAATTTTTAGATATGTATAATCTGTACACTTAACTTTTGCAAGTGCTGAGTCTAAGTTTATTCTTTGATATATACATGAATGTATTGGTGCTCAATATTCACAATTATATATTTATATCCACTGAATATTTTCTTCTTTATTTCTTAAGAAAACCCATTGCGTTCATCACTGCATGAACTACATTAGGCATATCACCTGTACAGATTTCTTGATCAGTGGCCGTTCCATCAATGAAACGTACAAAGACGCTCGCATCATTAACACAATAATTAATATTTTTAATCCTACTTAAAATGATAATTTAAAAAGATATAAATATAAACAATAAAATGTCTTTCTTTGTTTGTTATTACTGGAATGAACTGTCGCAGCTATTGCAGAAAAAATTACATAACCCGCTTACGCGGGTTATGTATTTTTTCTGCAACAGCTGCTTCCATTCATTCCAGTAACAACAAACAAAGAAAGCATTTTATTGTTTAAATACACTATGACTTTCATATTTCTAGCATATGCACTTCATATGTACATATATGTTTGTTCTTTATTCACTTTGCTGTTTGCTGAATTTGAGTCTCTTAACAAATAGAAAGACTTGATCCATCTTGGAGCTAAGTATTCCCCTTGTATGAGAAAAGATCCCAACCTAGAGGCAGCCCTGGCAGAGCAGAGGCAGGAGGAGAGAGGGACGGGGTGTTGTGTCCGTGACGATGGGTCAGGGTGTGTACAGACCACCGTACACAAGTGTAGTGTAAGTTACAGACCACCGTACACAAGTGTAGTGTAAGTTATAGAACACTGTACACAAGTGTAGTGTAAGTTACAGACCACCGTACACAAGTGTAGTGTAAGTTATAGAACACTGTACACAAGTGTAGTTTAAGTCACAGATAGACCACCGTACACAAGTGTAGTGTAAGTTACAGACCACCATACACAAGTGTAGTTTAAGTCACAGATAGACCACTGTACACAAGTGTAGTGTAAGTTACAGACCACCGTACACAAGTGTAGTGTAAGTCACAGACCACCGTACACAAGTGTAGTGTAAGTCACAGACCACCGTACACAAGTGTAGTGTAAGTCACAGACCACCGTACACAAGTGTAGTGTAAGTCACAGACCACCGTACACAAGTGTAGTGTAAGTTACAGACCACCGTACACAAGTGTAGTGTAAGTTACAGACCACCATACACAAGTGTAGTGTAAGTTACAGACCACCGTACACAAGTGTAGTTTAAGTCACAGATAGTACACCGTACACAAGTGTAGTGTAAGTTACAGACCACCGTACACAAGTGTAGTGTAAGTTACAGACCACCATACACAAGTGTAGTGTAAGTTACAGACCACCGTACACAAGTGTAGTGTAAGTTACAGACCACCATACACAAGTGTAGTGTAAGTTACAGACCACCGTACACAAGTGTAGTTTAAGTCACAGATAGACCACCGTACACAAGTGTAGTGTAAGTTACAGACCACCGTACACAAGTGTAGTTTAAGTCACAGAAAGACCACCGTACACAAGTGTAGTTTAAGTTACAGACCACTGTACACAAGTGTAGTGTAAGTTACAGGAGTGAAATTGTAATGTTCAAAAAGAAAACTATACATGTACAGCACATGGTCTATTAGCTTACATAGTTTGCTTAATTTTGTAGAAACTGATCTCAACCTTTGTTAAGTGGAATGACTCCAGTAAGATAGACAATGGCTACAAGTCGGGGGCAGTGTGTGGTCTGGACCCCAAGTAAGTGTCGTACAAAAGTACAATGTACAGGTATTTACGTGTATAATATCTCAATTTTCAGTAAAAAAAATAGAAACGTGCAATAATAAATTATCTTCACATAAAGGAAATAATCATCATCTACATACAGTCAATTCTCGAATTATCGCCATTCGATTCATCGCCATTTTCGCAATACCGCCATGATTTCCCAAGAACATTTTTCCTACTATATAAAATTCTCTTTATAATGCCAAATTCGCATACCGCCATCCGCCACCCTGTTTTCACAACAAACGTCCATTTTTTAAGTGTTAATTTTCTCGATATACCGCCACAGGTGCATGTGGTCAGTGAAGCGCGGCAAATTGGTTGACGCTTTCCCTGTTGTAAAGTATGCAAACCCAGCAAGGTACATGCAATTAAATAATTAAATAAGATTTAAATAAACAATAATTTTAACATGAACTGTTATAATAATTTTGTATTCCGTTTAATAAAAATCATTTAGTCACGGCTTCGCCACTGTGATGAAAGCGGTCGTTGTTAAAGTACACCGATAACGATATTATTTTGATGATCTCTGCTTTAAAATTAAAAAAATAATTATATGGTATAAATTGTGAACGTTTCATTAACAATGATGCCATAAACAATGAATTCATCCAAGAATTCATTTTACCTACTATTGGCAATATATCACGTTTTTTTTTCGATATCAGATGTGCAGATTTACATGCAAACATATGTACTTGTCTTTATTTCATAACCGTACATTTTGTTTTAGCAAAATTGTACATAAAAAGTATTTTCAAATTTATAAATGTGTTTTTATATACATGTACATGTAATAATAAGAATAGAAACGCTAAATGGTATTTCTAAGAACGGTAACTCTTGTTTCCTAAAAGATGGGAAATTCAATTCATCGCCAAATTCGTTATACCGCCATTATTTCTAAATTACAAAAGGTGGCGGTTTATCGAGAATTAACTGTATTCATGCAGGAAATTTTCTATTTATTCATAATTAAAATAAGAAAGACATGAAAATGTACAGACCAATAATCTAATGAATTGTAACACAAAATGATGACTTTGATTCTCTTTCAGCCACTGTAAGAGCCCCTCCTCTACCCCGCCCTTTGAATGGGACAAGAAGGACTTCACCAACTGGCCTGTAGGTTATCCACCATTTCTTAATTATCAATATGATTGGCATTATACAATATATAAAATTATTACAAATTTTGTTTGATATACTCAAACTTGCACTTTCAAGGTTGGTATAGGTAGGGTTTTCCCTCTTAAAAATAATCCAAAACTTTGATCAATGTTATGAAAAATCACTGATTAATTCATTAGTAGATTCATGATGATTATACTATTTGTATTCTGAAAAATGTACCAGTTTATACTGTATTAAGTTTTATTTGTAGGTTTGTAAAGCGACAAAGAATGTGAGTCGTAGTTTTAAAGGTTGCTCCCAGCCTGGTTCTGACTGTCACATGACCTGTGATTTACTGGGGCGGCCATGTTGTTTTGGTATCCAAGGAGAATGCATGATCACCACCAGGGAGCATTGTGAATTTAGACAGGGATACTTCCATGATGACAAATTTTTATGTTCTCAGGTTGGTTATCATAACATGCCTTAAAATAAAGCAAAAACAATTCTAGCGCATAAAAGAGGGTATTTTTGCCTTGCTTTAAAGCATGAATCTTCTGTAAGAATTTTACAGGCACATATATGCATGTAAATTGATTTTTGCTGCTCATTTGATGAAAACAATATTTCAATCTATTTTCTGAGTAACAATTTAAATATTGTTGGATTTATCTCTAGCACTGGAAGGAGAATTGGAAGGATGTATGGTGCTTCCCCCTCCAACTTTAACTAACCTATATTGATTTAAAAAAAAAGAAACAGATAGTAACTGTTCTGTTTTCTAGGGCTTAGTACTTTTGAAGTCTTGCAAGGGAATTAAGCATAACAAACAAAAAAACCCTGGATCACACAAGTTGTACCTTTCATTGTCAGATACCTACAAGTGACCTTGGATTTAACTCATCATCCTGTCAATAAGTGTATGCCAGATTGACCATGGGTTTCCAATTATGACTTTTGTTTATTCTTTACTCTTAATTGGTTCAGACAAGAAAACATTCTGTTAGGATTTTAATGTAATGGGTTGTTGTAGATATTCTTTAATGAGTTAATCCTGTATTGTAGGTGAACTGCTTTGTAATGTAATGGGTTGTTGTAGATATTCTTTAATGACTTAAGTAGGTGAACTGCTTTGTAATGTAATGGGTTGTTGTAGATATTCTTTAATGACTTAATCCTGTATTGTAGGTGAACTGCTTTGAAGAGATCTGTGGTATGATACCGTTTGTTTACGATGATCGACCTGACCAATTTGGCAGAATTCTTTCGGCCAATTTACTGCATGCTGGGTAAGATACATGTACCAGTAGGTACACTATGAAAATAGAAGTCAATTTTGTAACGGCTGTTGAGGAACTAAATTTAGATGAAATTTTCATGCTTCCATAACCTGAGATTAAGGGGCTTTTATGCTTGTAGTATTTTGTTTGTCCATCTGTTTGGTTGCCTGTTAATCTGCTTGTTAGTGTGCGAAATCTTCAACCTTGCTCATAACATTTTACAGCTGAAGATAAAACTTATAATTTTATATTTATGTTACCTTTGTTAAGGCCCTTTTTAGCTCTTCTGAGCCAAAGGCTCAAAGAGCTAATGCTATGGCCATTTGTGCGGTGTGCGTCGTGCGGTGTGCGTTAACTTTTTAGAAAATGGGCCATAACTCAAGAACGCCTTGGCCAATCAGTGTCAAATTTGTCACAGGGTATCCTTGGCCCAAGGGCTACCATTTATACTATTTAAAAATAAGGGTTGGGACCCTTAAACAAGGGGAGATAATCAGGAAAACAAAACCAAAAGTACTGGTTGCTAAAAAATCTTCTTCTCCAGAACCACCAGGCAGATTTTCACCAAACTTACACACAAGGATCAGAATATGTTGAAGATTAAAAATTGTTCAAGGCATGACCCTGGGGCAAAGGGCGTGGTCTCAAGGTCACTTCAAAGTTGACCTAAATTTACAATTGATAAAAACGTTTATATTTTGCTTACTATAAGGCCTATGATCATCAAACTTTGTTAGTTGATGCATCTTGGGTCCTTGAAAAACATCAACTTAAAAGTAGGTCACCTTGACCTACTTTTTGAACTTTATGACTTATCCTTTTTAAAACATTTAATCCCATTATTGCAGACAATGAGAGGGTTAGAATCATCAAATCTTGTAAATTGCTGCATCTTGGGACCTTGAAACATATTTATGAAAAAGTAGGTCACTGTGACCTACTTTTTGAATTTTGCAGGCATATGTTTTCATATTGTTTAAAAGGCATATTTTGATTACCTTCAGACCTACGATCATCAAACTTGGTCAGCAGATGCATCTTAGGACTTTGAAAAATGTTGACTAAAATGTAGGTCACGGTGACCTACTTTTGACATTTTATGGCTTTATTTAAGTATCTTCGGTATTTATTGGCTAAGAATCATCAAACATTGTGAGTTGATGCATCTTGGGTTTTCAGAGTTTGTTCAAATCAAAAAGTAGGTCACGGTGACCTACTTTTGACATTTTATAGCTTTATTTAAGTATCTTAGGTATTTATAAGCTTAGAATCATCAAACCTGTGTTGATGCATCTTGGGTTTTTGGAGAGTGACGACCAAAAAGTAGGTCACGGTGACCTACTTTTGACATTTTATGGCTTTATTTAATCATCTTAGGTATTAATAAGCTTAGAATCATCAAACTTTGTGAGTTGATGCATCTTGGGTTTTCGGAATATATAGTGAAAAATCTTTAAAAAGTAGGTCATGGTGACCTACTTTTGACATTTTATAGCTTTATTTAAGTATCTTAGGTATTTATAAGCTTAGAATCATCAAACTTTGTGGGTTGATGCATTTTGGGTTTTCGGAGAGTGATGACCAAAAAGTAGGTCATGGTGACCTACTTTTGAATATCTCGGATACATATTGGCTGAGAATCATCAAACTTTGTCAGTTGATGTATGTTGGGCTTTCGAAAATCGCCTACTAAAAATTAGGTCACAGTGACCTACTTTTAACATTTTATGGCTATAATTAAGTATCTCCAGTACTTATTGGCTTGGAGTAATCAAACTTTGTCAGTTGATGCATTTTGGTTTTTCCAAGAATGTAGATGAAAAAGTAGGTCAAAGTGACTTACTTTTTACTATCTCACATACTTATTGGCTTAGAATCTTCAATCTTTGTCTATTAATGCATCTTGAGTCCTCAGAAAACTTCAATCTTAAAGTAGGTCATTGTGACCTACTTATGTTTTTTTTATAGCTTTATTAAAATGTCTTCAGTAATAATTGGCTAAGAATCATCAAACTTTGTCAGTTGATGCAACTTGGCTCTTAGAATACTTAGGGTTAGAGGCTTCAAATAGAAGTGATAGGTTGTACAATTTATCAGAAGAGCGATTCAAGGCCCTTGGGCCTCTTGTTTAGGTACTAAAATTTCTGACCTTTGACCTTGACCTCAAAGTTTGACCTAACATTAAAAACTTTAACCATAGCAATGAGGTGCCATGCATGGATATCAGTGTTTCACTTTGTTTGATATCTGTCTAACTTTGTTTCAATCTGTTTGATATTTGTGTGATATTTTTATAACTTTGTTTCAGTTTGTGTGATATCTTTATAACTTTGTTTCAGTCTGTTCCACCTGTTAGTGACCTTGATCTTCCAGCTGTGGGTCATGAGACTTACCGAGCAGATGATTGGCTGGATCAGGATGATGATTATCTACATCAGCAGTGGCTGTGCGGGGACACTAGCCAGCGCTATACTCACCCCCTACCAGGTGGAGGTATGTCACCAAGGGCTTAAGATGAACATTTCTTTGTACCATGCCTCTCTCTCTCTGCACGTCTGTTGTTTGTCTTACCTGATTACAGGACTGCATCCAGATGTAATCAATAAATTATGTGTATTTAGCATTTTAATTAAGAATTGGAGCATAAAAAGGAGACGAAAGGAGAAAAATACACCCCCAAATACAATAATATGTTTTTATTGGGAACATTTATTACATTGCCCTCGTGTAACGATATTTTACCGTGACAAAATGAACATCGTAATAATGGGATATTACTGTAAAAGTATTGTACTACTGATATCTCATGAGTTTGATGTTTAATTCATTTCATAAGTATCGAAAATTAACCCAAGAAGGCCGTCTCTGGTTAGGGGGCGGCGAATTCTAAGTTTACGCTCCGGTTCTAACGATTTCCTGGCACGTAAAATATCACAATCCAAATAAGCTGGGAAAATGTCAGATATTTCAGACTAATTCATCCACCTCCCTCGGATATATAACCAGTACAAAAATTTCAATGATCAAAGATGGCACAAAATTTAATAATTGTGGGGTTTTTATTTCAGGTGGGTCCCTCTGGAGCACAGTTTGGTATCCTGGCCTGTATGTTTGTAGACATTGTCAACCAAATACTTGTCAACAAGTTTTCATCAGAAGACAAATCAGCAGAAAATCGAGGCCTTTACTTTAACTTAGGTGCTTATAGTGCAATACTCCTCCTACTATTCTTCCTTGGAGTGTTCCCATGGATGGATAACTGGTCCCACATTTTTGGCTTTATCTTTGGACTGTTCATCTCTCTGGTTGTGATGAAGGAAACAGACATAAAGGATAAGGGAATTACGCGCCTCCACATCGTCGTTACATTTGGCATTCTGTCTTTAGCCTTATTCTTGTTTCTTATCATTATGTTCTATGCTGCCCCACTCACAGAGAGCACCTGGCTACAATACATCAATTGTATTCCCTTCTCAGACACCTTCTGTAAAAACATGGACGTCACCATTAATAGGGGATCTACATATTCAAAATATGTCAAGTAAATCTGGTTGTACTTTGTACTTTTAATGCAGCAATTATTGTTTTTTAAGAGAAAAATATGTTTACTTTTTTGCTAAAGAGCAGCATGAAATTGGGTTGTATGATGTCTTTTTGTTAGATTTTTTCTCTATAATAAGGTATTTTAAGCATAATAGCAACATTATGTATGTATTTCATAAACTCACAGTTTTGTTTAAAGAATGATACTGTGTACTTTGAAAATTAAATAAATGTTTTCCCATGATACTGGTGCAAAATTTAAATAAATGTTTTCTTATGATACTGGTGCAAAATTTATCAAGTAGACCATCATTTATCCAGACACTTGTTTTCCTGAGAACACTGACCTAATCAACAAAGCCACGGTTTACTAAAACACCTTTAATAATTTAAATATTTGATTATAATATCTATTTACTACATATTTCTTCAAGATGTACAATTCAAAACCGAAATAAATGGTTTGTGGTGATTATTATTAAAAACAAGATAATCTATGTTACACAACTCACAGATATTTCTGGCACACGACTAAAAGTTGGTGTACTGTAGTTTTTAACTTCTCCAGGACTTGATTTTGCTTTAGTTCAAAATTTGTTTCTCTACATCTTGTAATTGAAGTCCCCATTCATGTATGCATTTATGTTTGTCATTTTCATTATGCCTGCTATTGAGCTAATTTAAGGACATAGGCAAGGTACCTTACCTACTGATAATTTTTAATGCTTCATTCTTAATTTAAGATTATAGTGCCATCAGATGTTCATAGACAAAAATTCAGCATGCATAACCAGGGTTTTTTGGAAGATATCAAATTATGAAATTTTTTGCATTATTCAAAGAAAAATATACAATACAAAAATTATGAAACATAAATTGCAAAATTTTTTTTCATCAAAATTTGTTTTAGAAGAGGTGTACAAATCCATACATAGACATTAAAAGTATTGCACACAGGTCCATCATTTAGTGGAACTCTTCAACTCCATGGTAGAGCACAATTAGTTTAAACTACATTGCCTATGACCTTAAATAAATATCGTTTGATTTATTGGACAGTTTGGTGCATTGTTTGTGTATATATTAACTGATGTCTGTTAGTACAATATTGTTAAACATTTAAAGGTACTTGGACACAGATTTGAAGTTATTATTTTCTCTATAATATTACGACTTATATATTTTAATAGCATTTCACACAGAAATTATTTAAAAATCTTATTTCGTTTAAAAGATATTGAAATTTCAAATTTTTCGGTGGGTTTGATTGACATATCATTGCACTCTCACAAATTTTAACCTTATTCTTAATCCTTAGGAAAAGTGGCAATCTCATTGTGTATAAATGAAAATATCAATACTATAATCCAGAGAATTCAGAGTAGACATGTTTGAAAGCAAAACAAACGCACAATATATTGTCAGTTTTATAGTTGTGGTAAGCATACTGTGATTTTTTAACCCGGTGAATTCTAAATATAAACTATAACAGAACTCGAGCCCTGTTTACAAAAACTGTGTACATAACACGAGTGTGCTCGATTTGCTAAACTCTGCACGCATCTCTTAGTTCGGAATGACGATACTTGTGAAAGTGTTTTGCTTTCTAACATTTCTACTCTGAATAAAATTATTTTTCTTGATAAAAGTTTTATTATTTCTCATTAAAACACATCAAAATGGTCACTTTTCCTAAGGATTAAGAATTAAGTTAAAATTTGTGAAAGTGCAAGGATGTGTCAATCAAACCCGCCAAAAAATTTAAAGTTTTAATAACTTTTAAACGAAATAAGATTTTCAATTAATTTTTGTGTGAAATGCTATTAAAATATATAATTCGTGATATCATACAGAAAAAATGAGAAAATATTAACTTCAAATCTGTGTCCAAGTACCTTTAAGGCCACCTTTATAGAGGAATGGTGAAAATAACAATATAAAACTGTGATTAGTATGACAAGAATATGAGACTGTGAAATCATGTTTTTTCAGCTCTAATGTGATCAATTAAATTCAATGAACTTTGAAATACCTCATGTTTTCTAAGTAAGTCCTTTAATTTTAATTGTTTTAGAGGATTTCTAATTTTTCTTGATCATATCCCATACCATTTTATACAAACAATTGTATATAATTTCGTTTTATATTCTTCATTAGGGCCCCGCAAGGATTTGCGGGTGCCCTATAGTAATCATTCTGTCTGTCTGTCTGTCTCTCCGTCTGTCATTCTTCCGTCCACAAATTTTCTGTCTTTTCCTAATAACTTTTTTTATGGTAGTCCAATTAAGTTCAAATTTGGTATGGTAGTTCAGTAGGCAAAAAGACATATTTTGATGCTAAGTTTGTTTCTCTATGTCCTCTGGTTTGGAGCTGGGGTGGTGGGGTAGATTCCTTAACTTTATATAAGAATGAATTGGCAAAGAGAGATAACTTCTGAAAATGTTCCCATTGTAAACTGAATACTGCAATGAATGAGTCCCTTGGGATTAATTAGCTTTCCTCCTGAAGAAAATCCAAAGCATTATCTTTATCTGTCACATTGAGATTAATTACCACCTCTGTCTACAAATGAAATTTGTTTTGAAGTTAAGTCCATTTAAGTGGATTGAAGTATAAATGTTTTTACTTTATTTTTGTTGAAATACCCGACACAATGAGTTCTGATTTCATTGAATTCTTAAAACAAGAAATAGATTGAAGAAGATGTATTTATTTTTATTTATTTTTTTTTTCTTGCTTCATGTAAATTCAAGAATATTATTGATTTTTAAAAAAAAACCTCATTCTATCATTACTGAAAAAGTTCTTATTATAAATTCAGAAGAAAATGATGAAGAGAATTTCAATTAATCCCTTAGAATATACTAGTCTGCTGCAAAAAATTTAGAAGGCTTATCTTTATCTGTCACTTTAAGATTAATGAAAACCTTTGTCTGCAACTGCTGTCTGTTTGGAAGTTAAGGTCAAGCCTTCATGATATGTATTTGCCTTCATTGAAAGCTGGCATTTTATATAACACGAACTTCATTATTGTTCAGATATACATTCAGTGTTGAGTTGTTCTTTACTGCCTTATGTAAATACAAGGATATTATTAACAGGTTTTTGGATATTCAGGAATTATCTTGAAATTTTAAGAATACACTTGCTGTTTCTTATTTGTCATATATTTTTGAATCATTCCATAAGCTGCACCCTTACTTTCAAAAATGATGGGGCCCTTGCTGACTGGTCAGTTTTCTAGTATTGAGTTTATTTTTTAGGTATTTTTTTTTTACATATGTATCCTCAGATTTGTAGTGTGTGATTTCATTGATTTATACTTTCAAACACGCATACGTCCCATCTGATTTCATTCTATAACCCCTGGATATTTGCTCAATTAATTTTCTTCTTACAAACCATTTTTTTCATAAGTTTGTTTCTATATCCCCATGTTTCTACATAGATGTCATTGTTTAGTGAAGAACATTAAAAATTGGGTCAGGTTTACATGTTCATTGACTTCTTTTAAATTTTATTTTTAGGTCACCTGAGTAAACTCAGGTGACCTATTGCTATCTGTTTTCGTCGTGCGTTGTGCGTCGTGCGTTGTGCGTTAACATTTGAACATTTTCAGCTTCTTCTCTGCAACCACTGAACCAATTTCAACCAAATTTGGCCTAAAGCATCTATGGGTGAAGGGGAACAAAAATTGTGAATTTCCCTGATCCCTGCCCCCCTGGGGCCTGAGGGGTGGGGCCAAAACCACAAAAATTAATGCAATCTTTAAAAATCTTCTTCTTTACTCCTGGACATCAAGCAGTCAAACTGTTTGCATGATTGTAATCAGCAATGAGTCCTCTACCAAAATGGTGAAATTCATGGCCCTGGGGTCGGGGTTCTAGTGCTAGGGCGGGGCTAAATAAGTATATAGTGAAAATGCATTATTTCTTTGAAAATTTTCTTCTCTGCTCCTAGGTATTAAGTAGACTAACTAAGTGCAAGTTATGATGAGCAAGAGTGCCTCTACCAAAATTGTGAATTTTATGGCCCCAGGGTCAGGAGTTCTGGTGTTAGGGCGGGGCTCTATTGATTATATAGTGAAAATATAATTATTTGAAAATCGTCTTCTCTAACTCCTGGGTATTAAATAAACTTGCATAGTTTTGATGAGCAAGAGTGCCTAAACCAAAATTGTGAATTTTATGGCCCCAGGGTCAGGGGTTCTGGTGTTAGGGCGGGGCTCTATTGATTATATATTGAAAATACATGAATTCTTTGAAAATCTTCTTCTCTGCTCCTGGGTATTAAATAAACCAACTAAGTACATAGTTATGATGAGCAAGAGTGCCTCTACCAAAATTGTGAATTTGTTTGGCCCCAGGGTCAGGGGTTCTGGTGTTAGGGTGGAGCGCTATTTATTATATAGTGAAAATGCATGAATTCTTTGAAAATCTTCTTTTCTTCTCTTGGGTATTAAATAAACTAACTAAGTGCATAGTTATGATGAGCAAGAGTGCCTCTACCAAAATTGTGAATTTGATGGCCCCAGGGTCAGGGGTTCTGGTGTTAGGGCGGGGCTCTATTGATTATATAGTGAAAATTCATTAAATCTTTGAAAATTTTCTTCTCTGCTCCAGGGTATTAAGCAGATGAACTACCTATATAATTATGCTGGGCAAGTGTATATTTCCAGAATTGTGAATTTCAAGGCCCCAGGGTCAGGGATACCATAGAAGGGGGTGTATTATATACTGAAAATGAATGAATTGTTTGAAATTTGCTCCTTGGTATTAATCAAATATCAAGGCCTAAGGGCCAGGGGTTCATGTGTGGTAGGGGCACTACTTATTATTGCTGAATATTACTGATTAGTTGAAATGCATTTTTTGTTCCCTTACCCTGCATATGGGTATTAAGTAAACAAACTAAGCAACTGCCCCCCCCCCATTGTTATGATGATCAATGGTGCCTCTTTCAAAATTGTGAATGCCATAGCATCATGACATTAATCAAATTCAATCACTGTAAAGTTGTTGCATAATGCTCAGGTGACCTATAAGGCCCATGGGCCTCTTGTCTTTAGTTAAATGTTCTTTGGTTTTTTACTATGCATTTTTGGTGTTGTCATTTTGACATGTGAACTTTAAGGTTAGTGGCAATTGATGCTATTCAGACCATGTGTATTTATATGAACCAGGTAGTTTATATATAATGTACATCAAGTCTTAAGTAAAGAAGATAGAAGTCTGTTCCATTAACTCACTGGAAATGGATCAGGTTTTTATTTAAGATACATGTTTATTAAAAATCTAGTGCCATCTATTCTAGCAGTTAAGGAAAATGAAATTTATTTAATGAGTTTCTAGCTTTGTTTGAAATAAAAAATGCATAGCAACATTTTACTCTTTGTGTATATTATACCATCTTTTATCTATAAAACACAACTCAAGATGTGAATGAAAATTGAGGAATCAATATTAATTATTTTGGTACCTAAAGAAATTTCTTGTCACATAGAATATACTTATGGAATATTTTCAGAATTTACTTATAGAATTTTTGTTAGCTTCAAAAAGCAGCTCTCAGAATTCAGATCAGCTGAGCTACAGCAGTTCTGTAGCTGAGGTTTAATGGAGTCAGGACAGACAGACAGATGGCCAGCATTACAGGGCAAAAACTATATGCCCCAAAATTTTCAATTACAAGGGCATAAAAATTGAAGTGCAGATGAGATTGGACAATCAGTTTCAATAAATTTGATTTTTTTTCTCCAATCCTTTGCCCTTGGTTTTGCACATTCCGTTATAATCATTCATAACATATTCATTTCTTTTTATTAATTTATCGATAATGTTATTTATATGTCATTGGTATTAGTGCTGTGTAGAAAAAATATCCATAATCTTCTGTTTAGTAGATCTGACATAATAGAAGGAAGGATATACAGTGTTGTTTATTTTAGTGCTTTATTGGATTGAGGACCCACCCCATCACTTGGAAAGAAGTTGTGTTCAAAACCGTGGAAATGGTTAATTTCACTGATAATGATTTGGGAAGTGTATGCTATTTCATTATTTATCAAAAAATTAGCTGCAGAACTGTAGCTCTCTGAAAAAATACATATTGACAGAGAAAAGTTTTCTGCAACTATCAAAAAATTTTTTTTACAAATCATGTGTTCAATATAAATGATAAATAAAAGAAAAATTGTTAAGAATTTTAAAAATGACTTTGAACTAGAAAGCTCCCCCCCCCCTCATACACACACACACACACACTTTTTGTTGCAGTATAGTCAAAGAATTGTTTGAGTGAACAAAATGATACTGAAAGAAGCTGGAATTTCGAATATAGACATTTTTCCTTATTTCTTTTTTCTTTTAATTATTATCATTTATTTATTTGTTTGTTTGTTTTTTCTCCAAGTACGTTAAATATTTTTTCACCCCCCCCCCTTTCAAAAACGTGTAAACTGTAAGGACGGTATCTATTTCTAAATGTACCCATTATGTTTTACACTTACAGATACGAAGGAATTAGTGTAAATTCGTTTGTAAACAGTTTTTCTCCCAATATTGAATTTTAAAAACCCCATAGCTTTCAATTGAGAGAGCAAAGATCCGCCTATAAAAGTCTTCGCCTGCCCTAGTGAGCGATTACTGTTGTTATGACGACATTCGATGGTGAAGTTAAATCTCCTGCGATTGGGTAATGGTCAAAGAATCAGCCAATTGTTTCGGGCGTACTATTTATTCATTGGTAGGTGTTTAGATAGCAACCATCTAAAGTACCAAGGGAAATTAAGGCCGTATCAACAAGGAGACTTTCTAACCGTTGGACGTAAAATAAGGTAGGAAAACGTGATTTGGCACTAAATTTGAGATAATAAAATGCATCTGCTGGTCCATAATCATTTGATTTAACATACATTCTAGTTATACAAACTCATCAAGTTTGTTTTTCGTATCTTCTGTTCACAATAGCATATGTTGATGAATCTCCATTATTTATGAGTGTATATAACTAGGCTAAATGATTTCTCACAATTTCCTAGTTTGGAGATTATGGTGACACAACATTTTAATAATAATAATGCTTTTCTTTCCGGCATGATAGCTAGTTGATATATAAAGTACAATTAATGATCGAGATTTTTTTTTAAAGGAACTAACTTCTTGGACATAGAAGATTGTGCAAATATTCATAGTATATGCATATATACAAAATTATACAAAATTATATGCAGACTAAATATTTACATCAGATTCCTCTGCTCATAACCGTCAAGACCAAATCTTATTTTTCATTATTAGAAAAATGGCAACAGCACTTCGTCCAACCACAAGACACCAGCCACCTGACTGGTTCACAAGTAACTACACCATCTCCACGAACGCTGAGAGACAGAGAGATGCCTCTCATCAAGTTCGCCAGGAGAGTCGATTTCTCCGAAATGAGACAGACAACCAAACAAAGTGGGATCAACACTCAAACAATGTCCGTCTGGCAGATCGAGTAGATAACATCAGACAGTGGAAGGAGATCCTAGAAAAAACACTGGCCGATATTGACAAGGAGATTGCCGATTTGTCTGATGCCAAGGAGCTCACAGAGCAGGCCCTGGAAGCCAAAAACCTTCCACTTGATGTTGCCATTGAATGCCTGACCCTTAGGGAGGGACGTCAAGGTATTGATATCGTACAGGACGAGGCAGAGAACCAGCTACACAAGGCAAGTTTGATTTGATGATTTATATTATTCTGCTTAGGCAAATACTAAATGTTTACCCATGTTGACACAATTATTACAAATCCATACACAAAGGATATATATGTCATTTTCATTTTTCAACTTGTGTATTTTGTTATCAGGAAGTGGAGGTTATTGAAGGAATCAAAAAGGCTCTTCAGCAGAAAATTGGAGATTCATTTGAGCAGCTCTGCCTTCTACAAGAGGCCAGACAGCAGCTTCAGGCTGACTTACAGGACAAGAATATAGCCCTAGGAATAGATGTAGATCAGTACAACCTCACCGACAGGTCCCCCCAAATCAGCTTCAAACCTGACTCCTTAAGGGTACCCAAAGGGTAGGGATATTGTAACTCTAAATCATTCCTACATGATTGTTTTTAAATTTTAAAAAGTTGATGATGCAACACAGCAAAGCCTCTTCATGATTTTCATTGATGTGTACTGATTTTGTTTTCACAGAAGCACCACCCCACAGCAATGGGAGGACTTCAGTCGATACAACAAGGAGAGGGCCGAGGCCGAAATGAAGGCCTCAACTCGCCTAAGGGAGGCCATCCACCACACCCTTCAGCAGTGTGCTAACGATTTGGAGGCCCAGAGAATCGCCACAGAGTATGCCTACAGAAAAAGGATCCATGAATTCGAGAGAGCCAAGGGCGAGCTGGAATGGCAGAAGAAAAATGTAAGATGTTCATAATTTTATAACTATACCTGTTATTTCTTTGAAAAGAACAATAGTGCAATGAATACAGGTAATTATGAACAATGAGTATATAGCAATTCCACACATTATTTATTATAGACCGAGGAAGAAATTGCTGAGCTGGAGAATGACATCAGAGGAATCGAGGAGAAAATCCGCGCAAAGATCGCCCCAATGAAGCTGGCTCAGACCCGCTTGGAGAACCGTACATACAGACCTAACGTTGAACTCTGTCGGGATGCCCCACAGTACGGTCTCACAGATGAAGTCAAGCAGCTTGAGGCCACAAAGAGGGCTCTAGAGGAGAAATGTAAACAGGCAAAGTAAGTAAAGCCTCTAGTCGGTCATCACATTTTGGTAGTCTCATATTCAGCTTTAAATTTAATTTTCCCTTGACTGTAAAAGTACCACTGTAAAACATTTACAAAAGTTAGCCTTTTCAAAATGTGCAAACAGGATATAAGGGATATGCATGTAATTTATATTGCTTTTGTTGATGTAATTCTTTGGTAACATTTTCAATCTAGGTCAAACATGTTTTATGCTTCCTTTTTAAACATGCCTTGTGATCATGGAATTTAAAACAAAACCTTTTACACAGGATAAATGATGATCTTGCTCAGAAAATTAATTCACTCAATTTGGACAATATATAATTTGCATGGATGTTCGCATTACCAAATATAATGCAAATCTTTGGTAATGCTCATATTATACATTATCGCCCCCAGACCGTGTGTTTAGAGAGGAATGTGCATAACCCTTTTGCTGGAATTATTACAGTGTTTCAGGGAAAATCTTTGGTACTTTATAGTAATGTTGGCATAAAAAAATAAAATGTGTAATATCCAAGTGCATTTTTGTTACAATATGAATCTAGATCAAACATGTTTTACGCTATCAGTATTTTAAAAAAAGTATCATGTGATCATGGAATTTAAAACTATTGAACAGTTTTACTACATTGAATTATTTATATATGAAAATGAATTATGGGATATGAGTATTGAAGATATAAAGTTGAACTTCTCCTGAGTTTGTCCTGTTCTTCACTTTTACTGGGTGCACTCTATTTATATACATTTGACACGTCTTTCATTATTGTTATTACTGCATTACCAAATATTATGCAGATCTTTGGTAAAGCTCATATTATACATTATCCGCCCAATCTCCTGTGTGTTTAGTTATTTGTGTCTGACGAGGCTGGAAAAGTGTGCATGTGAAATATTTTACGAGTCATTTTGCATAGAAGCAAATATTACAGTGTTTCAGTGGTTTATCTTTGGTAGTGCTTTATAGGTAATGTTGTACATAACAAAAAATAAAATGTGTAAATCATTGGCTTTAAATTTGTACTTTATCTCCAATTAAAAAAAAAAGTTTAACAAGATATTGGAGGTCCATGGACCACAATGCTCATCTGAGTAACTTATTGTAGTCCCAACCTACCTGAATGGATCATGATTTGAACAAAATTGAATATACATTACAATTATAACATTGTAACACATTGTTTAACTTTATTGCCCTCTGCTCTAGGCCAATCAGAGTAAGCAACTAGATTGCAAGACAATATGAAGTTGTTAATTAATTCATCATAACTTTAAACTCCAAGACATCATCTCATCCTATACACAAAGTATTGGTGTCAGTTGCACTACAAGAAATGGAAAACAAATCAGAAGTTTGACATTTATTTTATTTTTCACAATATACTCTCTGTCTTAAGACTGCAAACATCACTAAACACAAAAATATTTTCATGTGGATAATAATGATTTATTTAATGTAGCACTTTTATAATAATTTCCACTCATACATGTCTATGAACCTGATACAGTCTTTGACAATGATTTTTCTTGATCTACATGTATCAAGTCAGCTCAGGCAATCTTTTATAGTGCAGTCACACAAACAACAGATTAACAAACGACATGATTAATGCTTGAAAATCACAATCTGTGACCAGTGTGTCTCTGGAAACTTTAACACATTTTCCTCGATCAGATTTTGCTTGATGTTGGTAAATGAAATTAACTTCTTCCAAAACAAAGAACACATATGATTACATGTATCTTAACATGATTACAGTAACAGCCTGTCTCTCAGTCTTATTGTCTCCAATCATCAGATTTCCCCGTGCTGGGCCTCCTGATCAGAACATGTTAGGTGACCTGTACACCCCTCCCCGGGCACCCCTGCCAGTCCCCCTTGCTCTCTGTATTGCACCTCGCCCCCTCTGGAACATGCCCCCACGATTGCCCCGACTCTGTAGCTGGCCCCTCTGTGGGGTCCCTCTGGTACTGATGGGGCGACCCCTTGTCTGCTGGCCGGAGGATGAGGGAGATCCCTCCCACACGATGGGCTGGATCTTTGGCTTTTCTATGTAAGAAGTAAACAAAGATTAAAATAATTGTCTATGGTCTTAATTGATAAAAGTTTATAATAAGCTTCAGTGTTTTAAAAAAAATCTGCTGTATAACAATCTAATAAATCAAAATCACTTCTTTTTAATGTTAAAAAAAGTGGCACTCTAGGAGTTATATAAAAAATGAAACTGAAATGATAGCAAATCAAAAACAGGGCACCTGGTCCTGTAAAACCACCTACAATGTAACCTTAACCCCTTTATTATTGCAAGCACATATCTTGTGCAGAACTAAAGTAATTAATACAGAAAATGAAGAAATGTCCAACAAGAGGCCCATGGGCCACATCGCTCACCTGAGCACTGTGGCTAGGAAAAAGTAGAAATTGGTTTATTATTGAAAAGTTTATATCCAGAAGTAGTCCCATGACCAATCATGGCTTTGCTATTCTTGACAATATGATTTTTAAAGAATTTTCCTATAAACATCTATGTAAAACTTTGATTGGCCATTGTGGCTCCGCCTTACCCAAGTGGTCATGATTTGAACAAACTTGAATCTACACTACCTGAGGATGCTTCCATTTAATTATGATTAATTATGGCTTTGCTATTCTTGAGAAGAAGACTTTAAAAGAATTTTCCTATATTTTTCTATGTAAAACTTTGGTTTGCCAATTTGGCCCCGCCCTACCCCCCAGGGGCATGATTTGAACACACATGAATCTACACTACCTGAGGATGCTTCCATATAAATAAGATCAATTATGGCTTTGCAATTCTTGACAAAAATATTTTTTTTACAAAATCCTATATATTTCTATGTAAAAATATGATCGGCAATTTTGGCCCCCACCCTATCCCTAGGGGTCATGATTTAAACAAATTTGAATCTCCATAATCTGAGGATGCTTCCATATAATTTATGATCAATTGGCTTTGCTATTCTTGAGAAGAAAATTTTTAAAGAATTTTCCTATATATTTCTATGTAAAACTTTGTTTGGCCCTTTTGGCCCCGCCCTACCCCCAAGGGTCATGATTTGAACAAACTTGAATCTACACTACCTAAATATGATCAATTATGACTTTGCTATTCTTGAGAAGAAGATTTTTAAAGAATTTTCCTATATATTTCTATGTAAAACAACTTTGGTCGGCCATTGTGGCCCCGCCCTATCCCCGGGGGTCATGATTGGAACAAATTTGAGTCTACACTACCTGAGGATGCTTCCATATAAATATGATCAATTATGGCTTTGCTATTCTTGAAAAGAAGATTTTTAAAGAATTTTCCTATATATTTCTATGTAAAACTTTGGTCGGCCATTGTGGCCCCGCCCTAGCCCCAGGGGTCATGAATTGAAAAAACTTGAATCTACACTACTTGAGGATGCTTCCACATAAATACGATCAATTATGGCGTTGCTTTTCTTGAGAAGAAGATTTTAAAAGAATTTTCCTATATATTTCTATGTAAAACTTTGGTCGTCTATTGTGGCCCCGCCCTACCCCGGGGGTCATGAATTGAACAAATTTGAATCTACACTACCTGAGGGTGTTTCCCCTTAAGTTTCATCTTTCCTGGCACAGTGGTTCTTGAGAAGAAGATTTTTAAAATATACCACCAAATTTTCATTAATTCCCAATTATCTCCCCTTGAATAAGGGCATGGCCCTTTATTTGAACAAACTTGAATCCCCTTTACCCAAGGATGCTTTGTGGCAAGTTTGGTTTAAATTGGCCCAGTGGTTCTTGAGAAGAAGTCGAAATTGTGAAAAGTTTACGACAACGACGACAGACGACGGACAATTTTTGATCAGAAAAGCTCACTTGAGCCTTTGGCTCAGGTGAGCTAAAAACACTGAAACAAAAATACATAATGGTTGTCAATCATATAATTTCTTACTTGTTCTTGATCTATAAATTTTCACTGAAAAATTATAAGTGGTAAGAACAAATTGACAAACAAAGGATCTGGCCATTTTAAAAAAAATCTGCATTCTTCATCAAACTTGAATCAATTTCAAAACTTTCACTTTTAACATTGCTAAGTTTCTTTAAGGAAGTTTTGGCACTGAATACCTACCTATCACTTCTGTCTTTTCCTGTGAAGTGCTGGGTTCCTCTTCTTTTAGTGCACCAGCACCTTCTTTTTCTTGTTCTGTAGTGTCCCCAGCTGGTTCACCTATAATTTAGTGAGAGACATGACAGTAATTCTATCACTCACTACATGTCTATCTTATCTATTAATCTTGATTCTACCTTTAATCATACCTTGTTAATTTTCATACAACAGAAATATACATATATGACTTCTTCACACATCCATAAGTACAAATACATGTGAAAGTTTTAGCTAGGACCTGAATAACTCACCAGCTGATGTCGTGACCTCTCCTTCCGTTGTCTCTGTCACTTCTGATGATAATTCAGGTTCTGTTTGCTCTCCTGACCTAAATACAGAAAATACAATGCAATATAAACAAACCTTAAAGAAGCATATCCGATTTAAATTTTCATACAATTTATGTTTTGGATTTAAAAAATTTGATATATGTATTTTTTTTATTCCGACCTTTGAAAATAAGACCTACTCTCTTTCTTTGAAACTATTTCTTCCCAATCCCACCCCAGCAGAGACTCATTAAGACCTACTCCCTCTCTATGTGATTATTCCCATCCAGTCTCGGCAGATACTCATTAAGACGTACCCCTCCTCTACATCGACTTCCTCCTGAGTTTCTTCAGTCTCGGGCTGGGTTGTCTCCCCTGCTGAGCTTGTGGCGGTGGCCTGGGGGTTGAGGGCGGACGCAATCGCTGCTTCACTGATGACTGGGACCGGTGCTGTTGTCCTAAGGGGGGTGCTGGGTACGCTGCGTCCTGTCCCCTCATCTAACTCAGATAGGTCCATACTGGTACTCTCCATACCTCCCAGAGCTGCATAAAATACACACAATTACACACAATAGTAGGCAGATATTAATACATCAACAATCTTCATGATTCACAATCATTCAAGTTTGACTAAGCCCTACCTCCTTGGGAAGCCAGCTCTCCCAGTTCTGGTTGAGCTAAAGAAGACTCACTGAGTGCTCCAAATGTAAACCTTTGATTAGAAATTCTGGGGGAGCTGAAATATTACATACAGATTAGATAAGATTTAAACCTATATGTATAAGGTCTTCTAAAAAGGTGGAAAATGAGGATTGTGAAAAACTTGTCATCTTTTTGTTTGAAAAAAGTCCTTTTGTTCTGGAGTTTTTAAAAGGCTATAGAATTTAATGTACAGTAACTATACCTGACTACTTCTGCATAGCCATCTCCTCTGTTTGGGACAAACAGTGTAGGGGTACTGGGGACAATTCCATCCTCTCCTTCCTCAAATGTGCCAGTCTGACCCTAACCCAGAATATAACAGAGTTATAACAATCCCATTGTATATATTTAGTACAATAAAATATGTTCAAATCAACAGAGTTTAGAAACTGTATGCAGTGTATAAAAAGCCTCATAATTACCATGTAAAGACCTAATAAAAGTGACTATTAGTAATAAAGAATTTAATATACTGTATAAGTACTTTTTTCCGCGTGGTATTAATTTACGCTATGTACGCGCTCATCATTTTTCCGCGGAAATTTGTCCAAGCGTACTTAATATAATTGTAAGGCAAATATAGTGACAATCTAGAAAATCCGCGTAATTTTCTAACCCCGGATTTAACAGAAATTGAGATTCCGCGGAATTATGACCCCGTGGAAAAAAGTACATCTACAGTATAACAAAAATTCTGTAAATAAGTTATCTAAAACAATTCTGGAGTAAAACTGAGAATCAAACCTACCCCCAGAATAAAAGGAGCCAGTTGTCTGTTCATGGATGTTTGTCTCTCCATGGTGAAGGGGGCTCTCTGCCCAAACAGGACGGTCGGGGTGGTAGTGGGGGCAGACTGAGTCGTCTGGGGGACTTCTTCCTCCTGGGCCTCCATAGGTCTCTCATTGGAATCATCTTAAAAGAGAAAAGCTTCTTTATGGAAAATTGTTCAGTACGTATGTTCTCCATGCCCCTAGGGATACATGAGGTCATAAAAACAAAGTTCAGTAAAACCATATAAATACATCAGATGCCATAATTTTCAGTACAAATAGTCTAACTTAGTACAAATAGTCTAAACTGTCCTTTTTTTCTGTTTTTGGTTTGTTTAATGTTTCACAGATAATCCACACGCTGGATGTGGCTGACTGACTCACCATCCAGCTGGATGACATCCTCATCTTCCTCCTCTGTCTGGGCCTGGATCTCCTCCAGCTGGGACGCCGTGTACTCCCCCTCCATCTCCTCATCCTCACCCTACAACGTGTATCACATCACATTAAATTATTAACCAATCAGTCACTAGGTTATACTCTCAAAAATTATACTGATAATGTAGAACATTTTTTTCTTCAGTTTGCAAAATGTCCCAAAATGCTTGCATACAAATTCTCAAAATTAATCAAGATTGTTATATTGATTACTCAGTTTATGATTCATTTATAGAGTATAATGAAATAGCATGAATACTACCGAGTCAAGAAGCCTGGACATGACTTACATAATCCTCCTCAACTTCTTCAATATCTTCTTCTTCCTCCCCCTCTTCTATATCTTCATCTTCCTCATCATCTTCAATGCCTTCATTCTCATCTTCCTACCAGAATTAAGTACACACAGTGAGCCTACTGATTCATGATAATGGAACTCTTACTTTGTATATACAAATTGTCCCAGTATTCATGATTTTGTATACACTAATTGCCCCAGTAGACTTGAGGAAGACTTACCTCATCATCACTCTCCAGAATAATGATGGCTTCATCTCCTTCATCCTCCTCCTCAGGGGCTTCTTCTTCCTGAATTTCCTCAACATTCTAAACATAGTAACAAAATCTCTTATAACCTTCAACATTACATTTTGTAACCTATTACATATGGAATACGCAATTGCTTTGTTGTTTAAAGTAGAGAGTTCCGTGTATAACTCACCTGCTGTCCTTGTGAGTCTGAGAGCATGGCAGGTTCTGACGACAAATCTTCCACCAAGTCGTCTGTAGACTCGGCCGGTCCCAGGGATATCTGAAATAGAAAACCAACATCTCAAGAAAGGGAAGACTTAGTGATGGTAATTAAGTGATGCCTAAGTCTGCCTCATGGACTGGTATTCCCCTCCAACTAAAATCTGACTACATGTACTAAGTTGTGGTGAGGGATCCTCAATCTCTCTCTCCTCCCCCCCCCCCCCCCCACTGACTGTTCCTTTTAAGAAATAAACAACAATGTTAAAAAGTTCTCTGGGAAATGAACTTTTAGTTGGTCACGTGATCAAATCCTGTGAAGCCCAAAGGGCTTCTTAGTAGATTTGATCATGTACCAACTAAAAGTTCATTTCCCAGTGAACTTTTTAACATTGTTGTTTATTACTTATATTTACATTTGAGACGAATAAATTTCGAGTAAAATTGCATTTATAACACGAACGGGCTTCCGTATTATTTTGTGACGCACAATGACCTAGAAGTTTTTTTGGTCAAAGTTAGTTTACCTTGCTCCAACATTTGAATGTTTACATTCAAGTTTATCAGTCCAGTTCAGGAAATATCTGTATATAGTGAAAGAATAATGATCACTGCTGAGAATAATTTAACTCTTTCACAAGTTTTTACAATATTTGAAGTCAAAAGCGGCGGTATCGCCTGTTTTAGTTTACATAACTCCAAAGGAATTTCTGGTTAAAAAGGTGGGTGCGGTTTAATCAAAACGTACCTTATTCACACCAAGAAGATTTATTGTACATCTCGAGATTGAAAATATCCATATTGTTTATCATTTTATCTTTTTCATCGTTATTGACCTAGAAATATTCCGAAACAAGTTGCATCGTAACGGAAATATGACCTCTGACTCCCAAATAACATTCACACAGAATTGAACATATTTTTATCTGCAATAGGTTCATCTAAGAAAGATATTTGCAAATGTAAATATTAGTAATAACCTCTGATTCCTGGGTTCTAAGTTGTGACTTAGGGACAATAGAGATGACCCCTTTTCTCCCTATTAAGCTGAGTAATACAATGTTGCATACCTCAGATTCCTGGGTCGAGAGTTGTGGGGTTTGAAATTCAGTGACTTCTTGTCCTAGTTCCAGAACTGGTTCTTCCTCTGTAACTGTCTGTGTATTGGCATGTTCATCTGTGACTGTTATGGCTGGAATCGGTGAGCCCTAAACAGCATTACAAGGCAAGTCATTATAATTCAGAAAACTAAAATAGCAATAGAGAATATCTGATTGCCACTTACATGTACATGCATATGAAATTGTTTATCTGACCTGAGCTGTTGACACCTTGGTTCTCTTTGGTTCTGTTTCATCTCCTTGACTGCTAAAAGTGGAGAAAAAAATCATATACATGTATACATCTAATTTTTTATACACTAAAACTCATTTCCTGGGAAAGAACTCTCAAACTGTCAAAATTAGTACCCTTCAGCCTCTTCTCTTGATCTTTTCCCTAGAGACTGCCCCTCCCTGCTGACAGAAGCCACACTGGTGGTATCCCTGCTGACAGAAGCCACACTGGTGGTATCCCTGCTGACAGAACCCACACTAGTGGTATCCTTGTTGACAGAAGCCACACTGGTGGTATCCCTGCTGACAGAAGCCACACTGGTGGTATCCCTGTTGACAGAAGCCACACTGGTGGTATCCCTGGCTCCTGGTGCCATAGTTGTTGTAGGAGTGACCTCCCTTGTCACAGTGGAAGAGGAAGTAGATGGCGCTGCTTCCCTAGGCGCTGATGTTGATTGGTTCTCACTATTATCACTGGCAGCTGTTGATGCTGCCGAGGAAACTTCTACCTCCGACTGTGTCACTGTTTGTTCTGGAAAGTTAACATGTACTCATAGAAAGTTATTACGACATTGAAGTTGTCTGTAATAGACAAAAAATCCTTTTTTTCCCTAGATAATAATTTCATTTTAGCATAATTACCTTGAATGCTTGGAACTTCTTGAATGATTACTCCACCAGAGGATGTTGATGAATCTAAAGCCAATTAACATAAGAGTTAGGGATTGAATTACTTCTAATATTTTTACGAGAATTTTACCCTTGACATTGACTGACCTGCCGAGGCCTCTACCTGAGGTGTGACCCTCTGGACCTGCTGAGTCGGGCGTGAGGTCATCACTGGGGACAACTGAGCCTGGGTCACCTCATCTAGTGGTAGAAAAGTTTTTATGAATAAATTCTTCTCAAGAAAATTAATTCAAATTTTTTTTTTTTTAATTAGAGAGTGGGATAGCCTTATTACTATCAGAGACTTCGTGCTGAGACACTGTGGTGGGCATTACTGTCGCTGTAGGTGTAGGCACACTGACAGCTAAAGGTGATATACTGGTAGGGGCAATAGCCATTGGGCGAATGTTAGCTATGACCCTTGACCCTGCCGTCTGAGACTGGGAGGTAGGGGCTTGAGGCCGTACTGCCGCTGGGGACGTGGACATGGGTTTGATGTTAGCTGTTTTGGGGGACTCTGCCACAGATACACTGAAAGAAAAGACAAGTTTATTTATCTATGCTTTAAAAAAGTTACTTGATGAATTTGAACACAGCTGAGATATCACCAATATTGAAGTTGTTTACCTTGACCTGTCTACAGGCCTTGCCCTTTCCACTGTTGCTGTGGCTGCCTGACGAGTCGCCTGGGGTTGTGGGGCCACTGGCTTAGGCTGGGCATCAATCTGTTTCTGCATGGCTGCAATCTGTAATAGTACAAATAACTCTGATGTCTATAATATTCTAAATCATGGATGGTTGTGACATGTCTTTTAGCCATTCTGTGATACTGTACATAAAGAAAGAGCATTCAATCCTACTACTTTTCTTTGAACAATCATCCAGAGGGGACTACACTGTAGGAATATTTGGTCCATTACCTTATCTTGGAGCTCTGCCTTCTCGGCCATTAACTGTTCCAGCTGTTTATTTTTGTCCGCTATCTCAGCGGCTGATGTTCTAACCTGCTGGGAATTGTCAGCCACTTCCTTTGTTAACGTGCTGATTCTGTTTTCATACGTCGATTTCATGGCAGCCATTCTTGACTCCGCCTCCTCTGTAGCTAAAAAAGAATTGGATTGTAGGGTGAAAAAATCATATGAGAATCATTTACCTTCAAAATAAATGTATTGATCAAAGAAACCTATTATAAAAGTGGCCATATATTAAACTTCACTTTCAATCAATTCAAGCTACAGAAAGTTGATGATTGATAATTCAAGTTTAGAAATTATGGTCTTATTTCTAAGGAAGATTTCTCTCCTCTAGACCTACTATTCTAAGGAAGAGAACTTATATTTGAACATACTGTATAACGGGTAATTTTTACTGCTGTAAATTTTTATGAATTTTGGTCAAAAAAGGGTGATTTAAATTTTTACGCGTTAATTTTTCATGAATTGAACATGTCTGTAAAAATTAAAATCATCAGATGTAAAATTCCAGATCACTGATTGTTAGCACTGAGTTTATGTACAAATAATGTGTCCGAAAACCCAATGTAAGAGAGAGAGAGAGAGAAAGAGATTGATTTATTAAATTATAACAATATAAACAATGCAACAAATTACATTATGTATAATTTTTTATCATTTACCTTTATATATATGATTCATATAGTACATGAACAATGTACCCTTCATTTATTCATGTTTTATAAAACACATTGCTAGGCACACCACGTGCTCGTCTGGTATTTACCGAAAACAAAGAGAGACAACTCAAGCTATCATAATTGAAGTGAAAGTATACATGTATAGTGTAATTTGATAGAAGTCGAAGTTTTATTCAAAGCACATGAAACAGAAGAAAGTGTCAAAGATTGAAAACATGGGTATAACTGGAACTTTGGAAGACCTGTAATTATTAAGTCATTATCAGATGTTATGCTTCTCGTAAATATACTTAAAACAAGAGGCCCATGGGCCACATCGCTCACCTGAGTAACTTGGGTGATGCAGTTCTTTACCAGATTTCCCCTCTTGCCGTGCCCCCTACCCCCTTCCCTTTTATGATTTTAATACTTTAGAATCTACACTACCCAAGGATGCTTCCACATAAATTTCAGCTTTCCTGGCCCAGTGGTTCTTGAGAAGAGGATTTTTAAAGATTTGTTCTATACTTTTCTATGTAAAACTTGGAATTCCCTATTGTGGCCCCGCCCTACCCCTGGGGGTCATGATTTTAACAATTTAATATCTACACCACCCAAGGATGCTTCCCCATAAGTTTCAGCTTTCCTGGCCCAGTGATTCTTGAGAAGAAGATATTTAAAAATTTGTTCTATATATTTCTATGGAAAACTTGGATTCCCTATTGTGGCCCCGCCCTACCCCCGGGGGTCATGATTTTTAAAATTTAATATCTACACTACCCAAGGATGCTTCCACAAAAGTTTCAGCTTTCCTGGCCCAGTGGTTCTTGAGAAGAAGATTTTTTAATGACCCCACCCTATTTTTGTCTTTTATTGATTATCTCCCCTTGCAATGGGACTTGGCCCTTTATTTTAACAATTTAAACTCCCCTTCACCCAAGGATGCTTTGTACCAAGTTTGGTTAAAATTGGCCCATTGGTTCTTGAGAAGAAGTCGAAAATGTGAAAAGTTTACAGACGGACGGACGGACGACGGACAAAATGTGATCAAAAAATTCGGCTCAGGTGAGCTAAAAATGAGTAGCCAGGTAGGTCTAACTGATTAATTATAATTGACAATGTTTGTGTAATTTAAACAAGTTAACTGAGATTTACTTGTATGATCCCAATTTATGATTGACTTAAAGTGCTCAAAATACCAACAGTACACTAATTATACTAGTATAGCCTCCATGGAGTGAGCTAAATGACAATTAGCATAACTTTTACACATCCGAAGTTGAAAATTTACACGAGCCGTTTCATAAATAATGTGAAATTTTACGTGTTTAAATTTTACGGATTTATAAAACTCGTAAAAAATGGTAAAAATTAGCACCACGTAAAAGATCCCCTTTATACGGTAACATCCAAATCTAAACTTTTGACCTATATTTGTCCTTGAGGCCTTTGCTTGGGCAATTTAAATAAATGTAGCCATTTTCTAAAAAATAGATTTTCTCATAAGATTTCCATGTAAAATTTGACCCCCCACCAATATGCCCACTTAACATCCAGAGCACTGACTGTCTAAATCTGTGTTGTTTTGAGTGTTTATCTTTGTCTTACCCCCACTTGGTGGTTCTGCGGAGACCCTCTGTTTCAGTTCCGTATTCTCTGCCATCAGTTTCCCGATTTCCTCGTTCTGAGAATTTAGCTTCTTTTTCACGGCTTGAAGAACATTCTTAGACTGATTTTGTTTCTGTTCATATTCTTCAGTCTTCTTCTTTAATTGTTCTATCTCTGCTTTTAATTGTCCAATCTCCTAAAAATGTTTCAAATTTTCATTTCAGAGCTGTATTCTACAAACACAATTAATCATCAAATACAAGAACAAACTGTAACTTCTGTCAAAACTTATTATCTTCACATTACTCATAGGTGGGTTAACATGAAACTAGGAAAATTCAAAGAGAACAATATAATATCTTTAAGAAAACTATTACTGGGTGAAATTATAATGGAGCAGAATTGTGTGCATGCGTAAAAAGACAATGATTACACAGGGTGAAAATAACCCTGTATACAGTATCACCATCTCTCCATTCCTACATCAACTCTGTTGTACCTGTTATTTTACAGTCAACATCTTTGTGCTTGTGAACCCACCTGTTGCGCCTGGCTGAGCTGCATCCTTGTTCCCCCGTACTCCCCGCTCTGTACCTCCAGTTTCTGTTTAAGCTCCTCCCTTTCCTGTTCAGCCTGAGTTAGCTGATCCCTGAGGGACGCCACCTGCTGGTCGGCCTCTACCTGACCTGGAGTGGTTTCCTCCTTGGCGGGCTGGCTTGCCTGTTCCGCTGCTGTCTTAGCTTTAAGTTCCTCTATCTCTTTGGTTAGGGATTCTGCCTGCTCCTTGTATTTCCGCCCGATTTTCCTCAGCTAAGAAACGAGATGAGTTTACATCTAAATATTTTAATATTAAGATTTAGTATGCATATTTATTTAACAACTACTAATATTATCTGTATTTTGTCCAAATGTTAAAACAATTTTCATTTTAAACCATAAGAACATAAACAGTGTGCTGGCTAATAAAATACTGCTTTGATGGACAAAAATGGCAAATAAACTGACTCTACATTGTACAGTTGTCAGACGAAGAATTGTTATTTTACCTGGTTGATGGTTTTAGTTTTTTCCTCAATGTCTTTCACCTTCTCTTCAATTTGGGCTTTGAATCCTTGAATCTCCCCTCTGAACAACAGAGAGAAAGACAAAATTACTTTTTTTGTACGTTTTGGGTAAAATTGAGATAAGACAAAATTTCCTTCTAGATATTTTAGTCAAAGAAGTGCATTACATCTACACACAGGGGCCTGTAACATACTGTTTTTGATTTTACGTAATCACTATATATATATACAAAAAGAGAAAGGGAAACAACGTCAGCTCAAATTTACACAGGGTCTATCTCGGAAATGACTCGTGTTTTCAATAAAATACCTTGCAGTTAGTGAAATAACGTCTGGGATCATTCAGTAATAATCACTCTTTAATAAAAATACCATCGCGGTCATTTAAGAATCGTGTAAGTCGTGTTTTGTAGATCCGATATCCTGTCATGCAAGTGATGTAGTTTAAGTCGTCCACTAAATTCGCTAAACATTGCATCCAATATTTAACGCGAGATTTGATTGGTCAATGGTGCTTTTCTAGAACAAATCTGACCAATCATGCTCCGCCTTTTACCAATCATGCGTTGTTCCAAAATGTCGTCTGTTCTGGGCTCGAGCCTCTCTGTGATCAAAAAAAGCTACCGTATTTATTCAAATCGGAGATGTTGTACCTTTTAATTGCAATTAACAAAAGAAAAAGATGATTTTCGTGAACGCTGGATCTTTACTTTGTGTTTTCCTTCTACGGAAAGACTTCAAAACTGGAGAAAATGTGCGAATTTTGCCTCCTTTTAGTGGACGACTTAAAGTACATCGACTCGCACAACGGGATATCGAGTTAGTATAACCCAACTTAAATGCTATAAAAAGTAACGAGGTTTGTTTTATTAAAGAATATTTAGTGTAGTATGATTTCTAGTTATAATTTAATTGGCTACATTCTTTTTTCTATGAAATACGAAATATTTCCGAGATCGACCCTGTGTAAATTCAGACTGAGGTTGTTTCCCTTTCCTTTTTTGTATATAGTGATTACGTAAAATCAAAAACAGTATGTATATATATAGTGATTACGTAAAATCAAAAACAGTATGTTACAGGCCCCTGTGCATCTACAGTACTAAACAATCTGAATGAAGGTACATAGTACTTACTCAAGTTCAGATACTTTGTTTCTAGTCTGGGTAATTTCATTTCTAAATGTAAAACAAAAATGCACATGTAATAAGAAGTAGACTTTCATGAAAGAAATATACATGAACATTTATTTCTGCGAAAAAGTGATGCAAAATTTCTTACTGTTACTGACATCATTAGTGTGACTTTATTATTATAACAGTACCCGGTACTGTAAATCTGACTTACTCTTTCTTACTGTTATTGACATTATTACTGCACACTTGACTTACTCTTTTTCAGCCAAAATATTTCTACTCTGGAAAATCTCCTTTCTGTAAAATTATGGTAAATAAATAACATTTTATTACACTCTTGCTATAAGTATATATAAAATACATGGTACCTGTCTTGAAATATAAGCGAATGTGCTGCGATATTTGGGCGAGGGTAAGAAAACGTGATAGAGAGTGAGGCTTGCCGAACCCTCCATTACATTTGCGACACGAGCCCAAATATCGCTTATACATGTGTATTTCAAGATAATGACCATGTATTTTGTTTATCATGCAAAATATATTTACATGTGACCTCCAAAATGAACTATTTTAAACCTGAATTAGACACATCTCTGCATTGAAAACTAAGATGCCATAGGAAAACATTGCAATATATGTGACGTCACTTACATCATTATTTTTTGAAAGAGATAGTCTCATAACTGCAACATTATGTGCAAACAAATTGAGTAACATGTGTCAGCACTTATCAAAATTTGTTTGCACACACCATTGCAGTTATGAGACTATCTCTTTCAAAAAAAAAAAGATTCATTGCTTACTGTATATTTACATTTTTTAACTTTCTACCTTGACTGCAAATGTGTTTAATATTTAAAAACCTATGTATTACTCTTTGTGTAAGCTACAGTTGATAGAAGATCCAATGTAACAGCTTCTGGTCAATGTGAGCTTGACTTTTGATTTTTGCTTATGACTTTGCAATTCCTCTGCGTTCACCGATCATGACGTCAAACTAAAACGCATGCTTTAACCTCTTGGCAACCTGTCTGTGTTATGGTGTTTTGAATGCAATAGATTTCCATTAACTTTATTTGCAGAAAACATGTGTAATGAAAATATAATGCTTTTAGAATGTAGGAATACATGCACTAAGCTTTTTTAGGACATTGACCAAATAAAGCTTTAGTTTATTAGGCTACCTTTATTAGGTCAATGCAAGGGGTAGTTGTAGGATAAATGTACATATTCATGTTGCAATCGATGTATATAAGTAGTTGTTATCACTTCAATTGCTATAATGTCATCAAACTGAACAAAAAAAATATGATGCATATGTTTTTATCTTTTATTATGTTGAAAAAAAAAACTGGTTAAGGTTTATCTGATCTGGAGTATTTAAAGCTTGTGAATCTTTTTCTATCTGGGAAAATACCACAGAGAAGTTTACTATGTACTGGTAGGTGGTAGTACTTACTCTTTTGAGCTGGCAATAGTTTGTGATTGACTGAGTTCTTTTCTGCAATTAAAATTGCCAGGAGTTATATAAATGTATGTACAAGTATGCATACAGAAATGTTCACCACCAATCAGTATACAGTGGACCCTCAGATATCCGGATGCTTCAGTATCCGAACTATTTTTCATCTGAACAAAATTTTTAAATGTTATTTTGTCTTGTTTAACTGGTGATTCAGATATCCGGATGCTTTACATATCCGGACAAATTGACTGGGAACCAAAGCATCCGGATAAATGAGGGTCCACTGTATAAAGCTCCTGACAAGAATTTAATACATACATATACCAAACATAAAATAAGTCTTAAGAGTATATTGTATGCTATAAATCATGCTAATCAAAAACCTTATAAAATCAAATGGGAAAAATTCATATCATACTTCATGTACAGTGTAGCTGTAGACTGTTAATCCTGTATCATACATGTATTTAAAAAGAATCACCTTAGAAAGAAATTCAAATTGTAGATTGACCTTTGAGATCAAAGGGCAGATTTAATGAGATAGTAATTTATTTTGAGATAGTAATGAGATACTCACTGTAGATTGGCCTTTATGACCCAGCAGATACTAATGAAAGTAATGAGATACTAATTTGTAATGAGACCCCTTTAGATTGGCAATCCTGTAAGTTCCTGTTTTGTTTGTTATGTCTTGTAGTGATTTCCTGTACAAAACAAAGGAAAAAATTCAAAAGAACATAACTTTTTGGAAAGCAGTGTTCTAGTTATATAATAATTGCAAATGTCAAGTAAATAAGGAAATCATGTGAAACACTTTGTTCTCTAGGTTGGTACTTTCCACTTTGATATATGCATGGTTTTCAATATACATAGAGGATACCTATATTGTGTGATTTGATATTGGCTTTATCCAACGAGTTGAAATGGTGTATATATTTTGTGAGGTTGATCAAATATATATTTCAAAAAATCAATTCTTTAAAAGTCACACAATATATGTTCTATTTTTTTATACGTTTTATTTTAGAATTTTTGCTATCTGTGTCTTTGAAAACATTATGTGACAATTGCTGGCACTTTACATCAAACAAACTTCTGAATCAAAGTAAAACCATGGGATCATGAAAATGAACTCTGTTTGGACGATGGCAGTGCAAAACGTGTTAGGCAAGGCTAGGGGTCTACTTCTAGATTCATTGTTGATCCATGGTAAGTTACACCTATATTACTAGGTATATATGTAGTATATTCATAAGAAAGCATTATTGAAGATGTTAAAGGAATTTTATAACAACAACTTAACTGCTAGGCTTTACTTTTCCTCAAAAACCATTTTAAAGAGGGGGGGGGGGTGGGTTAACATCTGTCTTCAAGTAGTCAATACAGGTTCCTTGATAAAATAAGACACTTCTTTGACATATACAAGCCTTTTTCTGGCTTTTTTCGATATTATCACTCTTTATCATTCATTTTATTAGGGCAATAATAGGGATCACAAATAAAAGATTCAAATAAAATTTTGAAGTGAAAATTATCTCAAAACCTGAAGTGCTATTGATAAGGCATCTACCCTTTGTATATTTTGCCGTATATTTTGTTTACATACTTGACTCACAACTACAATTATCTTGTGTATGTTGACAAACTTATCTTATACTTACAACTATCTTATACATATGTTTACATACTTGACTAGTAACAATGGCTACCTTACATGAATTAATAAACTCATAATTTTGACTACCTTATATACTTACATACTTGAATTATCACCATGGATATCTTATACATATGTTTACATAATTGATTTATCACCATGGGTATCCTGTTTTTTTACATACTTGATTCGTAAAACTGCTCCTCGTTAGCTGTTTTAAAATCTGAAAATTTCTCCTTCTCTTGGCTGTTCAAAAATGTTTAACTCACATGCATAAAAAGTAAATGTGTAAATATCTGAACGAAAATGTGTTATTAAAATCAACAATGAAACAAATATAAAACCCAAAACAGAAACCAGACCCATTCAGAGTGAAGAAGAAAAAAACTGAACAATGTTTACAGATTAAGTTGTACTCACCTGCATCTGCTAGATTCATCTATAAGTTGTTTCACTCTTAATTTCAAAGCATCTCTTTCTAGGCTGTTAAAGAGAATGTCAGTGTTTAGCATTTATGTTATGCAGTCTAATATTTGAAATACAGTCGTAATGAAAAGAACAAAGAGGCAAAACCTGGTAAAACAATACATAAATCTATCACCTTCAAAGGGAAGTTATAAATATTCCAAATAACCATGAAAATGTTTTTAGCCTTTGCAAAGATAAGTGAATATGAACCCATCTTCATAAATCTGAGATTGTGCAAAAACAATATAACCTCCTCCTTGTATAATCCTTACAGAATCTTCCTGTGCTCATCTGGATCTGTCCTGTTGGCCTGCTCTATCAGGTGATTAGCCCGACTCTTCCAGCGGTCCACCTCGCTCTTCAGAGTATTCTCGATCATCAGAGCCTCCTTTTCAGCTGTCAGGTCCCGGATGGAGGCTTGTAGGGGGTTTACATGTCTCAAGGTTGGACACCTATGATAGAAAATTTTCTCCATTCAATTTCTTTATCCACAGAAAAAGTAATATACATAGCAAATAAACCCCCTGTATGATACTGTAAATCACAAAATTTTCACGACACCTTATTTTCGTGAGATAACATGCTTTGTAAGCAAGACAAAATTTTCACCACGAATTGTGGTTATCCTCAGAGAATACTATTATACACGAGAATTAAATTTTCGGAGCACACTGTCTCGCATGATTACTTGAAAATAAAGTCTTCGCAAAATAAAAAGCGATTTACAGTATCTAGAAAAAGCCAATAACCTACAGTAAGCAGAAGCTTTACCTTAGCCTCGAGCTCCTGCACGAGCTGCTCCAGGCGGTTTTTATCCTCCCTCAGAAGTTTGTTACTGTCTGTCAGAATGTTCAAGTTCTCCACTTTCCTCATCAGATCAGCATGCTGGGAGGCCGTCTGGACATTGGCCTATCAAACACCAACAGTTAAATTATAAATTTACAAAAATCCATTATATTATCTCTGTAGTTGGTAACATAAAAATACATTTATCTTTCAAAATTGAACTGTTGCTTGGCTTTAATTTGCTGCTCTGTTTTGGTAACAAAATACTGTAAAATCCCTTATTTTTGTGGAGTCAAATGTTCGTGGTTTGAGAAAAAACTCTTGGTTCGTGGGGATTTGATTTCGTGTATATAGAATTGTTGAGTAATTATATATGTCACATTTTACAATTCGTGATGAACATGAATTTGTGGATCTCTTCACACCTCGAAAACAACAAAAACTAGAACTGTCCAAACGGAACAAAATACCCCCCGCTGGGTTTTTCAGAAGTCAGTTTTTCTATAATAAAGATATGTATCAAACACGAATTATGAAATTTTTCTTCCAGTGACCTTGAAGTTCCCCAAATGACCTTGGGTCAAGGTCATGACACACCCATGGGTCATGGGCAATCTTTGAGTGAAATGAGAACCTACCAAGTTTATCCATAAGAAAGATATGGACCGGACATGAATTATGAAATTTTTCTTCCAGTGACCTTGAACTTCCCCAAATGACCTTGGGTCAAGGTAATGACACACCCTTCGGTCATGGGCAGTCTTTGTGTGAAATAAGAAACTACCAAGTTTATCCATAAGAAAGATATGGACCGGACACAAATTATTAAATTTTTCTACCAGTGACCTTGAACTTCCCCAAATGACCTTGGGTCAAGGTCATAACAAACCCTTGGGTCATGGGCAATCTTTGTGTGAAATGAGAACCTACCAAGTTTATCCATAAGAAAGATATGGACCGGACACGAATTATTAAATTTTTCTTCCAGTGACCTTGAACTTCCCCAAATGACCTTGGGTCAAGGTCATGACACACCCTTAGGTCATGAGCAATCTTATTGTGGAGTAGTAGATTCTAATGTCCCTCTGTAAGAAAGATATGGACCGGACACGATTGCACAGACAGACGGACAGACAGACGGACAGACGGACAGACAGACAGACGGACAGACAGACAGACGGACAAGGTGATTCCTATATACCCCCCCAAACTTTGTTTGCGGGGGGTATAATCAACCCCCCATGAAAATATGTGATTTCGCAGTAATAGATTTATCTTAAGCAAATGTACATGTACATAGAATTATACCTGTGCTTTTATCTGTTGCTCTGTGAGTGCCTTTCTCACGTCCTCCAGTTCCTTCTTTTGTGTCTCGTACCTATACTTGACGTTATTACACTCAGTCTTAACTATCTCTAACTTGGATTGGGCAATCTCTTTCTCTTTCCGTAAGAATCTACAAAATAAATTATTTTCTTGTTTTAGCACCTATAACAACTATGGAAGGGAATTACCGCCAAAAGTCTATGTATCTTGCTTTTATTCTTATTCTGCCTATAATTCTTTATGCTTTGTTATTATTGTAATTATATGTCACTTTATTGTTTTCATATTCGTCTTCATTGCATTTATTTTGACTTTTATCCTTCTACATTTTGCCCTTACTTCTATGTTGCTTTATTCTTGTTAATTCATTTTACTTTCTTTTAAAATTGATACAGTTTCTTAAATGATTATATATTACGAACGTGAATTCAATCACACAAAGAATAAGCATATTCAATGAAGACGAATACAAGTTGTCAAAATTTAGTGCCGCATTATAACGCTAGGTGGCAGAGGTGTTCGCTTTCGAGTGATGGTAAAACTAGGTAAGCAAACCCGGGCCAGGGTTATTAAAGATTTTTCAATTTTCTGCCTTAATACTTTATCAATCGAACATCTGAAGGCCGAATCTGATCACCACCATTCCATATTTATCTCCTCTGGGAACACAGGAATAGATCTTCTTTTTTTAAACATAACTTTATATACCGGTACTTTACTGAACATGTTCATTGAAAGGCCGACCCACTTTTTGTAAGGGTAAGGGTCAAACAAGGTATAGTAGTATAGTAGGGACAAAATTTGAATTTGATTCTATAGAAGAAGTTGAATCTAACCCAAAACCCACCCGCCCCCGAAATAGGATTTCATTGGCGTCGGAAGCAAAGTGAAAGTTGGGGGGGGGGGGGGGGGTATAATATAAGAAATATTTTTTAAGACCTTAAAAAAAAAACTTGACAAGCAAAAAAAAAAGGAGAAATGTCCACTGTCCAAACACAAAAATCCTATATCGTGTGTGTGTGGTGGTGGTGGTGGGGGGGGTGTTCAAATTTCAGTGCCAATTTCTTTTTTTCAAAACATCACCACTTTCCACATTTAAAACCTATCTGCATCGAGTCCATGGAAAGTGTGGGGGGGGGGGGCTAAACCTACGCAGTAATGTTCAATGTCTATACTAAGTCTAACTTTGGGAAAAAGTGGGGATCACAAATAAAAGATTCAAATCGAATATATTTTGAAGTTTGGACAATTTCCTTGGTTTTTTGTTTTTTGTTTTTTTTTTTGTTTTGTTTTGTTTTGTTTATTTTTTTTTTTTACTTGTCAAGTTGTTTTGTGGATAGCTTGAATTTTCAAAAACGATGCTACGTCACTGTTCTCTCGCCTGAAAAATATCACTCCACTAAAGTTATTTGTTGGATAATTGAATTCCCGCTTTACAGTTTAATTGACATAAAAATGTTAAATATTTTGATACTAGATGCCCCTTTATAAATTTATAAATTGAGTTGTTTTAGGACATTCCCAGGCGTGGATCTATTGAAGTTAGAGGGGCGCCAAAAGAAGGCAAGGGGTCTGGAGGCCGCCTTGAGGCTCCCAGTAGGTCAAGGGCAAAGTCCTGGTGGGGGCTGTTTTAAACCCCCGGAAGCCCCTGGGTTCTAGAGATTTTGTAGGATAAAAATGAGGTCTACCATGTAGGCATATTTACATTTTCTAGACGAAACTGTGATTTATGTTAACTTTGACAATTTTAAAACCCAAAACGCCCCCTCCTTAAATCCGTCACTGGTTCCACTGAACTTGAACTTTATTTCACGACAGATAGTAATTGCCCCTGCGTGTGATTCTAGGGACGGGGCTTTGCAAAGGAGTGAGGAGTGTTATTGGTAGGCAAAGTTGGAACCAGGCTACACCCCAGGCTGTTAAAGAAACTCCCCAGTCTTTTTTCATGCATTAATTTTTATATTGAAATAGCACTTTTTAATAAAGAAAAGAAATATCTTTTAGTACACACCGTATTATACATCAGCCAGGACTCAGGAGAGTTAAAAAAAATCTTAAAACTTGAAAATTCTATATTTGATGGTGGTGGTGTGAATATGGGGGGGGGGGGGGGGGGGGTCATAAATCTTTTTTTCAGTACCAAATATAACTCATATGTACATATGCCACTAAGTACATAACTACTTTAATATATGAATTGACTACATTGTATTAGCATGTGATTAGTACTGCAACAAAAAGTGTAAGGGATGGGGGCAACAAGTCCACCTCGCTGAACTTTTCCAGTAGTAAAAAGTATGTTACGTTTAGGAAAATGTTTCGTGGCATCCTCCCCTCTACCGGTGAAACTTACCCCATAGGAGGTCGTACAGACGGAAGTCAGTATATATATATTGAGACTTGGTATGATTGTATAACGTCCCTTTAAATTGGAGAATTTTTAACTCAAATGGAGAAACCACCTCTTGCCGGTGGATAGCTGCAAATTTGTCCTATATACTCGGCACATATAGCCATTGTGCAGTGGGGGATTGATTCTTGATAAGGCCAGCACCTATTGCGATACGTGACCTCGAATAATACGCTCTAGATCTCATCCGAAGGACCGAACTCCACGTCCCATAGTGGGATTCGAACCCACGACGTATTGATTGACTCCTTAACTGTGTTTCGTGACCCTAGAAAAAGCCGTAACCACAGTGCCCCGCGGGCGATTGCACCCGAGTGGAGGGGCATCCGGGGGGGGGGGATTCATTATCCATTTGTACTCGTGAAGATTATCTATGTTAAACTAAATGGTTAAAATGATTTAATTATTAACCACTATTAAATGGTTTCATTTAAACATTTATTCATGTAGGACGTATAACTTTTCTTAAAAAACTGAAAACGTTAGCATATAAACATTGTTTTACGATTTAAAAAAATATTATAGGGGTTGCTATGTAGGGGGACGAATTGCTATATACAAAATTCCCCACGGAAGACTAGCTATATATTGAAACTTCCCCGGGGCTTTAATTTGAATAGTCTGTTTTGTAACAAAGGAAGCATCACTATGTAGTCAGTCTTCCAGGGGAAATTAAACTTACCATTTTCCGAGGGAATGGCATTATCGGGTACATACCTGAACTTATAACAAACATCATTTGAAAATTTAAGTTCGATTGATAAAGTAATAAGGCAGAAAATTGAAAAATCTTTAATAACCCCGGTCCGGGTTTGCTTACCTATTTTTACCAACACTCGTATAGCAAACACCCTGCCACCTAGCGTTATAATGCGGCACTAAATTCGCAGTAATACATATATCTTCATTGAATTTAGTGCCGCATTATACATAGAATTGTTTACATGATTGAATTTACGTTCGTAATCGAGATAATCAAGATAGTTTATTTAAAAAACAGTATCAAATTAAAAGAAAGTAGAATGTATTCACAAGAATAAAGCAACATAGAAGTAAGGACAATATAAAGAGCGATAAAAGCTCAAGTGTAATGTAATAAAGACGAATACGAAAACAATAAAGTGACATATAATTACAATAATAACAAAGCATAAAGAAGTAGGCAGAATAAGAATAAAAGCAAGATACATAGACTTTTGGCGGTAATTCCCTTCCATAAACAACAAAGGTATCAATTCTATGAATGAGTTAAACTATCAACAGAGGAATTGTTATCACTGTTAGGTACCTGATGACTTCCTGCAGTTGTTCCGTGGACCGAGCTGTGTCCTCATCAAACGATAGGTCGGCCAGTTTCTGAGGTGATCCGGACCGAGTGACCGCTTTCTGTATGGACAATACGTCACTGCTCATCTACAGTCAGAAAGAAATCATTGTTTTATATTGTACAATTGTTTCAGAGTTATATTGATACCAGTTTTTAATTCGTGTATCCACAGTAGCATTAAATTTAGTTGAAAATCTCAGTTTTTTAATTAATAATTTTCTCTGTGACTATGATCTAGTGTAATTAAGTATCCGCCCACCTTCTCCATCTGTTGGTGTAGGATGTCGTTCTGGCTGGAGAGTTCTTCACTCCTCTTCTCCAGCCTCTCACACTCCTCCTTCAGGATCCTCTCCTGCTCCAACCACGAGGTCTAAAACAGAAAACATTACAAAAACTCGGGTAACTATTGTTCCATCTGTTAACTATTCTGCAGACTATTCAGTTCTATATAGCAACATAGATCTAGAGGATAACATAAAACCTACCTTTCCTTCTTCCAAGTCTTTTTCTGCTTTTATTCTGATTTCTTGTTCAGTTGCCAACTTAGAATTGAAATCTTCAAGCTGAAAAGCATATTTTGAAAAAAATACCATTCATTTCATGTTCCATACAATGTGCATAAAAGCTCACAAATACAATCACAGTCATAAAACTAGTCTACTGAAAAAGACAACCAACAATCTTGATTCTGCTGTCAATGTCATCATAAATATCATCTGTTTACATGTGTATGCTACATGTACAGCCAGTATAAAGAAAACTGTCACAGATTGCTACCACCACTGGGTGTGAACAGGTATAAGCCATAGTGGGCATTCTGTCAAGATCAGCTTATAAAATACAACCTACTGCACAGTCAGTATTCTGACAGTGATGTCAATGTCAGATGTTGTTAAATACATGTCAGGCTTTACTCTGATTTCTGACCTGCTTCTTGACAGCGGCCAGTGCCTCCACATCTGCAGCATGAAGCATCAGCTCTCTTTGGTATTTGTCCTTGGCCTACAGAAGTAAGATCAGAAAAGTATGAAAACTTTGCCAAATATCAATTATTTGTCTTACATTTATCTCTTTACAGATTACTAATACTCTAAGTACACATGTACATGCTGTAAAATAAACTACAGACAGAGATGACCCCGTAATTAGGTCAGAAAACAATATACAGAGTACACTCCATACCTCACTGGCCATCTGGACCTGCTGATTACACTCCTCCCGACTGGCTGACTCCCGGGCCTGGGCCGAGTCTCGGGTGGACACTGCCTCCTCTAGTTCCATCTGGAGTTTGGTCAACTGCTTCTTCAGATCACTATTCTGTGTGACAAAATAAGAGGGAAAGGTTAACTTCCTATCCAGATAAATTCAGCTTGTCACACATTGTGGTAAAAGTTAATCTCCCTATTAAGAGAACTCTTATGATGAATCTCTTTAGATTGCAGGCACTATAATCTATACATCTAAGACATTCAGAGGTCTATTTTGCTGTGATATCCATGTTTATACAGCATATCATTTACAAGCTTATATTGCTCTAGTCCCTTTATCATTTCCTCTGTCTGCTTTTGAGCCTCTCCCTCTACTGACTTACTAGTTTATGTTGCTCATCTACTCCCTTCATCATTTCCTCTGTCTGCTTTTGAGCCTCTCCCTCTATAGACTTACTAGTTTATGCTGCTCGTCTAGACCCTTCATCATTTCCTCTGTCTGCTTTTGAGACCCTCCCTCTACTGACTTACTAGTTTATGCTGCTCATCTACTCCCTTTATCATTCCCTCTGTCTGCTTTTGAGTTTCTCCCTCCATGGCCTTCAGACTCTCCCTCTATAGACTTACCAGTTTATGCTGCTCGTCTAGTCCCTTCATCATTTCCTTTGTTATGAGACTCTCCCTCTACAGACTTACCAGTTTATGCTGCTCGTCTAGTCCCTTCATCATTTCTTCTGTCTGCTTTTGTGATTCTCCCTTTTAAGACTTACCAGTTTATTCTGTTCGTCTAGCCCCTTCATCATTTCCTCTGTCTGCTTTTGAGACTCTCCCTCTACAGACTTACTTGTTTATGCTGCTCATCTAGTCCCTTCATCATTTCTTCTGTCTGCTTTTGAGACTCTCCCTCTTAAGACTTACTTGTTTATGCTGCTCGTCTAGTCCCTTCATCATTTCTTCTGTCTGCTTTTGAGACTCTCCCTCCATAGCCTTTAGTCTCTCTGACTAGGGACTTACCAGTTTATGCTGCTCGTCTAGCCCCTTCATCATTTCCTCTGTTATGAGACTCTCCCTCTACAGACTTACCAGTTTATGCTGTTCATCTAGTCTGTTCATCATTTCCTCTGTCTACTTTTGAGACTCTCCCTCTATGGTCTTGAGCCTCTCTGACTACGGACTTACCAGTTTATGCTGCTCGTCTAGCCCCTTCATCATTTCCTCTGTCTGCTTTTGAGATTCTCTCTCCATGACCTTTAGTCTCTCTAGTCCAGCCTGCTTCTCTTCCTTCTCCCTCCTCAGCTGTTCCTCCATCTGATTGGTACACTGCAAGAAATTATCAGCTGATCAACATTTAAACCCCAGAAGGATGTTAAGTTTCCTATTCAAATTGTGACATGACCCGGCGAGTTTTCCTTTGAAGTCAACCGTACTGTAACTGCGATACAGAACACTTTTTGTGGGCGTTTCTTATGCAAATGAGCAGAAACTGTACTGTATCTGCAAAATATCAAAGATACAGTACGGTTTATTTTTAGCGATGACGGAAAGCCGTATTCATATTCAGACACAACAATCGTTCAATTCGCATGATAGCACTGTTAGTAATTACTCAAAATTTGAGGTGATTTTATTAAGAATAAAATTTTACAAAATAAACTTATATGAATGTCGGATTCAAAAAATTTAGAAAGGAGGGAGTGGGGCCGATCAAAAAGGGCTACCTTGACCCCCCTAAAAAACCCCTGAAAATCGTATTTGGGGGGGGGGGGTAGGTTTGTAATCAATCAAGACACTATGTGCGTGAAATCGTTACTTGTTGATAAATTAAAAATAGTATGTATATACGATTGGCAAAAATAATTTACAAAAGCGAAAAAAGAAAAAAAAAACTTTAAGTTGGGTGGGATGGGGGGGGGGGGGGGGGCAAGTGTGAGTCCCCCCTTTGGTTACTCTACATTTTATTAAATGAAACATGAAAGTAAAATACCCCCCCCCCCCTTTCTTTCATCTGTTTATTTCAATTTTGTATATGATTACAGGTTAGAGGATATTGTCGGAGGTTTCTCTCAGTATACGATATCCCCGAAGCATTTTTGTTTCAAAATATGATTCTTATATATATATAAAAATGTTTTGCATTAATTCATAGCTTACATAAAAAAGAATGTCAGCAAGAGCTGAATTGAGAAAAAAAAGAAACCTACCCAATCAAATCTAAATAATTTTTTTGGAAAACAAATTATATACTGCATCCCTCAAATAATTATTTTTAAAATAATAGTAAATAATTACCTGCACGTCCACCTCACTTGGCATTTCAGTTGCGAATGCTTAAAATGGGATACTAAATCAACTTTCTGCTAAAATCATCTGATTGGTTGAGAGATATGTACCCAAATATGAATGTAAATTGGTGAGGTCATTAGAAAGGTCATGTCACAAGTCATTTAGAACCCCTACTGTAAGGATGTATCGCTCTCGCCTCAAGCCCCGCCCTTTCCTATTCAAATACTTATATTCAAACTAAAGTAAACTCATTTAGTAAGTACACTGATAATGCAAATTTAAAGACATCATAAGTTTTACCAAGTCTCTGCCTACAGCAAAATTTTTGACAATTCAAGATTTAAAATTTTAAGGCTATAATGAACTCTGATCACACGAATTTATAGATTTAGCAAGATTTTGCATCCTAAAGATTTTCAAATTATGTGTACATGTATATGTTGATTATTTAAAAGTTTTGTGAATATATGTTTATTTATGCATTTGACTACAAACACACATAATGTACTGTAGAGCTATGATACCTCTGTTTGCTCTGTGAGGGCCTTTTGTAAGTTGTCAGCAATACTTTTGTACTCAGTCACATGCTGTTTACCCCTCTCTATTTGTTCCTTCAGATCTATAAACGAAGTAATATGGAAAATTCTATGAATGCAGACTTTGTTGCATTTTCATTTACTGCCGGTTTCAATTTTTTTTTTTTTTACATGAATGTTAAATGCAAAAATATTTGCTGGATGGAATACATTTTCAAAAATATTACTTTTTGACAAATAATTACATGTATATAAGTATATACAAGTATCATTAGATAAGTAGCATTACTGTGAGTGTGATATGAAGCAGAGATGACCTACTTTGAACCTCCCTCTTGGCCTCTGATACTTGATACTTCAGTGTCTTCACTTCGTCCGTGTTTGCAGTGGGGGTTCTTACAGGGGTGGTTGCCGGAGTAGTCCTCAGTCCATCTGTCAGATACAAACATGGTAAAAACCTCAACGTTAGAGGAGACAATTTATCCCAAAAATGGTACAGAATGTTTTGACATTAAGTGAACACAAATACAGAGCCACATGTCAGATCGACTCATCAGCTCACCTGTTCTGACCGTGTTACTTTCTGATCTTCTCTGGGCCTCAGCAAGATTAGCTTCAGTAGTTTTTAACTGTAAATGAAATGTACTGTAAACATTTTTGTTTTCATACAGTAACACATACTGTATCTACTGCTGTTCATAGTTATTCAACAAGAAGTGGTGCTTCCTATATACATGTACAAGTATCTACTTAACAAAATGTACACAAGAAATACTATACTGTACATGTACATAAGGTGGTGGTGTATTCAAAATTTAGCCCAGTCACTGGGTTTTGACTTAGCCCTACACACACTTCTGCACTCTATTTTGAATTTATATACGATTCTTATCAGTATTCATGAATTACTGCATCAATATCCGTGCCAAAGCTGCTAAAATATGAAGCCAGATTTTTAAAGAACACATATGGTATTTGGGTGTTGTAATGATGAATCTCTTTCAGCCCTACCTGTGCTTTGGCTTCTTCCAGCTGTCTGCGAGTGTCCTGTAGAATTTTTCTGACATTTTCGTGATTTTTTATCTCCCCTTCTAATTGCTGACGAAGTTGTTTTGTTTGATTCTGTACAAAAGTAAAATTAAATTGCTTACATACAAGCACTTAGCTTATTCATTTCAAGAATTTGGAAAAGGAACACCAGCACTATCAATTGTAATGAAGTTTCTATGATAAAGTTATATTTTGCGGCGATCTATATTTTATTTCTAGTGATCCCTCGTGCTGCCGTTACCTCCCAGAGCTCCACCACGGCCCGGTGTTCGTCCTGCGTCGCCTTCAGATTCCTCCTGGCTGAGTTCAGTTCCATCTCTAACTTCTCTATCTGATTCGTATATCTAGTCTTCACTTCTCTCTCTGAGTGTTCTAAAGTATTCTGAAACATAAGCCAAGAAATATTTAATAATGGAAGAATATTTTCTGGAATTCAGTCGTCTTAAAACCACCCCAACCCAAATCATAGTTCTACACCCCAGTCCAGCTCGTCTCAACACATAACTCATCCACCCCCACCTGAAAGAATTCTAAACCTGTATTGACAAGTTACAGCAATCCATGAACTGTCAATCCACTTTCAAAATAAAGAACTTCAATTTACTTATATTTATATTGTTTCACAAATAATGAAATTTGGACAAGTATCATTTGTTTTTAGTAGAAGCTTCATAATGATAAATATTTGGCAGAAAATAACAGTAGTCAAAACTAAAATCAATCTTTCATTTGAAGTCAATTGCATTGATTTCCAATAAAAGATTCTAATTGCACAGAGAAATTATACTTGTATAGACTGTAAGTTAGCCATAAGCATGCTCTGTGAGGTCTTCTCTCTCCGTAAGTTGTCGATGTCCAGTAGAAGTCTTTGCTCCGCGCTCCTTAACAGTTCCTTCTCGGTCCTCAGATGATGACACTGGGCCTCGGCTCTAGACAGCTTCTCTTGAGTCGACAGCAAGTCCTGTTAAAAGAGTAGGATTCTGTTTAACAAGCGAATCTTTCTATAAATTCTCATTCAATTGACTTATTTTATTACTAGAAACAATCACTGCAGCTTGAACTATACGTATATTTTAAAGAAAGGATTTTTTCTGCCTTATGATTTTTTAGATTTCTATTCCATTTGAAAAAAAAAATGAAATTTTGAAATTCTATGTTTTATTTTGATCATTTTTACAGAACCAAAATTTTTTTGCAAAATTTAAGCAACATAAAAGAGACCTGCTTTTTGAAATACATGGTTCTGAGACACATATTAGATATTTCTTGGCCCACTTATGTCAATGTCACATGTAAAATTTACTGGACACAAAGAAGATGAATTCTGACCTGTCTAAGTGTGTTGATAGTCTGTTCATGTTTAGCCACAGAGGAAAATAACTTTTTCTCCTTTTCACCAAGAGAGGCCAGCTCTTTCTTGTAACCTTCAGCATTCCCTTGTAGAATTTTATTTCTCTCTGCTCCATACTCCAGCTGGAAATAAAATAGGTAGAGATATTACATTTAATAGTCAACAGTCACTTTCTTCAGAAACCTGTCTGTTATGTTTTCAAACCAAGTCAACCTGACTAACATGTACAAGTATTTTTGAAAAGTGTAAAAGTTTCAGTTGCAGATACCTGTACTTTCATTCATGAACCACATTTTATTTTGCTAGGGGTTTTAAATTATGTTCAGTCAGTTGTGTTTTTTTATCTTTCTACTTGTGAAGGTCATTGGAACTAAATACAGTACTTATTCTTCCATAAAAATTGAACTTAGAAATATTACAGTGTCTTTTGTCGGATAGGAGGTAATTTACCTGTGATGATAACTTCATGTTTTGCCTCAACATTTCTGAAATTTTGGATTCTTTTTCTCTCAACTCTTCATTCAGCATTCTGAAAATTAAAAAGAAATATAAGACAAAGTGCTAAGGTTTGACTACGATCACCTAGAAAATAAAGGCATTTGACAGATTACAAGAAATATTGAGATACATGTACAACAACTTTTAGAATTACATGTATATACTCTACAGGTACCTGACTTGTTCCTTCATTTCCGTTTTGTGTCGATCAAACTCCTCCTGACATTGTTTGAAGGCAGACTTGACCTCCTCCAGGGCCTTGTCAGGGACGTGGGCGGGGCTCTTCAGGGGACTTCTCAACATGGGGCTCTTTAAGGGGGTAACAGCTGCTGTTGATGTCGTTTCCAGCACCTGACCCTATATTAATATGAGACTTAATCAGTGAGACTGCTTACTCATTAGGCTGTTTACCACAGAATATAATCTGTAGACTAGCATATAGAAATATTTACTTCCATGTATTTTACAAAGACCTTCATTTCAAATTATGGGTAACAGAAAACAACAGATTTTTCTTAACTCTGTATCATCTTAAGTGATCACAGATAATGTTCAAAACATAAAAAAATTTCGAGAAAGAGGGTTTTTTTAAAAAAAAGAAGTGATACTCTATGTCAAGAATAATTATCTTATCATCATTGTCAAGAATACAAACAAGTGTACAAAACAGCACTTTTCCACTACAAAAGATTTCATAGCATTGATTTCAGATTTTCTTCTATATGCAATAATTTGTATTGAAATATCATGAAGCATGAGGAAAAAATTCTTGTCAAATTAAAGGTTTATTTGTGTTTCTTACATCTTCTTTTTGTTGTAACAGAACCCGGTAGTAGTCTCTCTGTCTCACTATGGACTCCACCTACAGAAAAAAAAGCATTCCAATTTCATACACATACTGTATTATACATTTACCTTTTCGCAACTTAAAATAATTTGTTTCCATAGAATAATGTTTGAATTATCAGTTCTTTCATCATTATTCTTAGATTTTTATGTAAAAGCTGCAGACATTAGTCAGTTGTCAGTACATACATGTACATAGCTATCACAGTCCCATCTTCGCTAGCCAAGGGTTTCTGATACGCTACTCTCCTCATGAACCCTTGGCATACGTAAAGTCAAAAGACAGGATTGTTTTCGTCACTTGATCTGGAATCTACCAGGTACACACAGATTGCGTTATCAACAGAAATAAAGACATGTATTTAAAAAAAATGAAATCAAAGTTTTTATAAGAATAATTAAGAAGCAATAATTGAGTTATGTTTATATATTATTTATAGTACAAATCTGAAGCTTCAATATAGATTCTTAATCACGTATTTAGAGGATATTGGATTACATCATAGTTATTCCATGAATTGCATGTTATCTTACGAATTGTTGTTTACTTGCGTTTTTCATTCCCGAGATTAAAGAGTCAAGATGTATCTGGAACGCAAATATCGTCATTTACAAAAAACAATTGCTGATTGGTCAACCGGGTGTACCGAATCCCAATCAGAACTCAAGAAAAACCAGAAGTCTCTGTCGAGACTGAAGCTCAACTGGTTTGTACTTATAGCAAAGGAAGAGGAAAGTACTTAAGCAGTTGGGAATTGAAACTTTACACTAGCAAAAAAGAGAATAATGATCCTTGAATAAGTCTCTTTATGTTCTTAGTGTAGTCTACTTGCATGCCACATTATATTATAATCAGACTAAAACTGTATTTGAAGTAGCATTTTGAGAGTAACAGAAATTGCTATCTTTATTAACCAAGGTAATAATGTTCATTGAAGTCAAAAACGGATATAAAGAATTATGTACCTTAGTGTAATCTACTTGTGTGCCAAGTTATATTGAAATCAGACCAAAACTGTAGGAGGAGTAGCATTTTGAAGGAATTTTACAGAAATTTCTATTTTTAGTAACAATGCCAACACCGTTCATTGAAATCAAAAACCGATATATAGAATTATGTATCTTAGTGTAGTCTACTTGTGTGCCAAGTTATATTGAAATCAGACCAAAACTGTAGGAGGAGTAGCATTTTGAAAGAATTTTACAGAAATTTCTATTTTTAGTAACAACGCCAACACCGTTCGTCGAAATCAAAAACCGATATACAGAATTATGTAACTTAGTGTAGTCTATTTGTTTGCCAAGTTATATTGAAATCATATCAAAACTGTAGGAGGAGTAGCATTTTGAAAGAATTTCACAGAAATTTCTATTTTTAGTAACAACGCCAACATCGTTCGTTGAAATCAAAAACCGATACACAGAATTATGTATCTTAGTGTAGTCTACTTGTGTGCCATGTTATATTGAAGTCAGACCAAAACTGTAGGAGGAGTAGCATTTTGAAAGAATTTCACAGAAATTTCTATTTTTAGTAACAACGCCAACACCGTTCGTCGAAATCAAAAACCGATACACAGAATTATGTATCTTAGTGTAATCTACTTATATGCCAAGTTATATTGAAATCAGATTAAAACTGTAGGAGGAGTAGCATTTTGAATAATTGTTTACAGACAGACAGACAGACGGACAGACGGACGGACGCCGGACGCATTACTATCGCATAAGCTCTTCTGGTCTCTGACCAGTAGAGCTAAAAACCCAACTTCTATCAAGACCGTATGCCAAGGGATTATGAGGAAGGTAGCGTATCAGAAACCCTTGGCTAGCGAAGATGTCATAGTCCAGTAAACAGAATTTTAAGTCTTACCATAGCAGCTTGTCTGTCCCTGGCTGACTTACCATGGTAGCTTGTCTGTCCCTGGCTGACTTACCATGGTAACTTGTCTGTCCCTGACTGACTTACCAATAAAGCTTGTCTGTCCCTGGCTGACTTACAAATATAGCTTGTCTGTCTCTGGCTGACTTACCATGGTAACTTGTCTGTCCCTGGCTGACTTACCATGGTATCTTTCCTGTCCCTGGCTTACTTACCATGATAGCTTGTCTGTCCCTGGCTGACTTACCATGGTAACTTGTCTGTCCCTGGCTGACTTACCATGGTAACTTGTCTGTCCCTGGCTGACTTACCATGGTGGCTTGTCTGTCCCTGGCTGACTTACCATGGTAACTTGTCTGTCCCTGGATGACTTACCATGGTAACTTGTCTGTCCCTGGCTGACTTACCAATAAAGCTTGTCTGTCCCTGGATGAGTTACCAATATACCTTGTCTGTCCCAGGCTGACTTACCATGGTAACTTGTCTGTCCCTGGCTGACTTACCATGGTAGCTTGTCTGTCCCTGGCTAACTTACCATGGTAGCTTGTCTGTCCCTGGCTGACTTGAGTTCCTGCATCTCACTGAGGAAGGTAGCGTATCAGAAACCCTTGGCTAGCGAAGATGTCATAGTCCAGTAAACAGAATTTTAAGTCTTACCATAGCAGCTTGTCTGTCCCTGGCTGACTTACCATGGTAGCTTGTCTGTCCCTGGCTGACTTACCATGGTAACTTGTCTGTCCCTGACTGACTTACCAATAAAGCTTGTCTGTCCCTGGCTGACTTACAAATATAGCTTGTCTGTCTCTGGCTGACTTACCATGGTAACTTGTCTGTCCCTGGCTGACTTACCATGGTATCTTTCCTGTCCCTGGCTTACTTACCATGATAGCTTGTCTGTCCCTGGCTGACTTACCATGGTAACTTGTCTGTCCCTGGCTGACTTACCATGGTAACTTGTCTGTCCCTGGCTGACTTACCATGGTGGCTTGTCTGTCCCTGGCTGACTTACTATGGTAACTTGTCTGTCCCTGGATGACTTACCATGTTAACTTGTTTGTCCCTGGCTGACTTACCAATAAAGCTTGTCTGTCCCTGGATGAGTTACCAATATACCTTGTCTGTCCCAGGCTGACTTACCATGGTAACTTGTCTGTCCCTGGCTGACTTACCATGGTAGCTTGTCTGTCCCTGGCTGACTTACCATGGTAGCTTGTCTGTCCCTGGCTGACTTGAGTTCCTGCATCTCACTGAGGGCTCTCTCCAGCTGATCCTTCAGATCCTTAGTTCTGTAAAATACATTATACATGTACAGAAAATATCACATATAAACCCTGTGTTGATTAGTTGATTATATCAACAAAAATATTGGAAAGTACCATTTTGTCATCAATAAAGAAAAAGTATTCAAGCACTGACTTGGTTGAGAGTTATTTTGTAATACAATATTTTTGATGTGTTTGCATTATCTGCTGCTAATTCTAATTATTGTGATACCCTCGTCTATAAAATATACACTTTATTTTTCTCTCTGCATCCCTCTTATCCACATTACTCTTACTTTTCCCCATGTCTCCTCCTATCTACACAATTATTATTCCTACATTTCTATTTGCTTTTCCTACCGACATTACTCTTATGCTTCCTTTGCACCCAATTAACTTACTTTTCCTCTGTGCCCCTCTATCTACATGTATATAAACCTTACTTTTCCTCTGCGGCGAGACTCTCCTCCTCATCTCTCTTCTCACTGAGATCTCGGACCACCCCCAATAATCTCTGGTTCTGTCGCTGTAAGTCTTCAATGTTTCTGTCAACAAATTAATTATGGGCATATATTACCCTCAATAATGTGAAGTATGCCTTGTAAAAAATCTTCAATCCTGTCAGACAGACAAGATGCACATGATTCTTATGGGGAACATTTTTAACAGTGTTGTTACATGTACTATATGACTACACATAATACTTAAATTTTTTTATGTGGTAAAATGGGGCCATTCTTGTTAAATTAAACACACATCAGGGAGCTGATCACCATTCCAGGCAAGCTGATCTTACTTGACCCTACATAACCTGAATGTGACCATATGGTCTATTATGTCCCTATATTATCTGAATGCAAACCATGTAATCAGAAACTGTCCATGAAACCATGTGATTTGACACTACTTACCTGAATGTAATCAGAAGATACTATTTCATTTGAATGTAACCAGGTGACACTATTTACCTGAATGTAACCAGATGACCTGAGATGACTTCTGATGAGGTGGTACTGGAGATGTCAACACAAGAAATGTCATCCTCCTGTAGGATTCTCCTACCCTTCACTTCCTCTATCTCCTTCACGAGAAACTGCACCTACAGGTATAAACAAGAAACTGCACCTACAGGTATAAACAAGATACTGTACCAACAGATAAAAACAAGAAAATGCACCTACAGGTATAAACAAGAAAATGCACCTATGTGCATATACAGGAAACTGCACCTACATGTAAATACAAGAAACTGCACCTACATGTAAATACAAGAAACTGCACCTGCATGTTTACACAAGAAACTGCACCTTCATGTAAATACAAGAAACTGCACCTGCATGTTTACACAAGAAACTGCACCTTCATGTAAATACAAGAAAATGCACCTGAATGTTTACACAAGAAACTGCACCTTCATGTAAATACAAGAAACTGCACCTACATGTAAATACAAAAAACTGCACCTGCATGTTTACACAAGAAACTGCACCTTCATGTAAATACAAGAAACTGCACCTGTATGTTTACACAAGAAACTGCACCTTCATGTAAATACAAGAAACTGCACCTGCATGTTTACACAAGAAACTGCACCTTCATGTAAATACAAGAAACTGCACCTACATGTAAATACAAAATACTGCACCTGCATGTTTACACAAGAAACTGCACCTTCATGTAAATACAAGAAACTGAACCTGCATGTTTACACAAGAAACTGCACCTTCATGTAAATACAAGAAACTGCACCTGCATGTTTACACAAGAAACTGCACCTTCGTGTAAATACAAGAAAATGCACCTGCATGTTTACACAAGAAACTGCACCTTCATGTAAATACAAGAAACTGCACCTGCATGTTTACACAAGAAACTGCACCTACATGTAGTTAAGTATAAGCAACAGCTACAAAATATCCCAAACCACATGTACAATGCAATAATACATATTTGCTGAAAGATTGTGAAACACTCAATTGGTGAGGTTTTACTCCATGTGAAATAATTTCCCTCAAATTAAGACACATGTAACATAACTTATATATTTAAATGCTCAATTTAAAATATCTACATCAGTATCTATATTTGTTAATCTCTGGAGAAGCAAATTTTTCTGTATTAACCTGTTTTGACAGGTCCTCAGTCTGCTGTTGTAATTTCTGATTTTCCCGTTTCATGTAGTTGTATTTCCTGTTGGCCTCGTCTGCCTCGATCCTCATGTTCTGACTCTCCAGTAAAGCGGCGTCAAGTTGTTTGTTCATCTGCTCTACTGTCTCCAGAGTCTGCTCATAGTCCTCCCGCTGTTTACGGATCATAGGAGCCTTCTCCTCTATCTCCTACAGAAAAAAATCACAGAGAAATAAAATTAATAACTCTTAAGATATTATCTATCAAAAATTTTCCACCTTGATTTTAGGTTAAATTAATATCAGAGACAAAAAGCATGATACCTGGAGAATTGTGTCAATGTAGCTGTTAAGTCGTTTGGTTTCCTCCTTCTCCAAGTAGAGATTTTCAGAGGCCTGCATGTACTCATTATAGATCTGTGTTAGGGACATTCCTGAGTTTACCAATTTACTCGTAGCTGCTGCGTTAGGGAAGAGGGTCTCCACATGTTCACTGGTGGCAGCTAAATAATAGACATAAGAGAAAGATCACAAATATGTCTGAGTTTCTTGTTCTGAAATTACTAATATTGAATCATCTTTATGTTGTGTGTTACCTTTCTTTTTTATTTCCTCAATAAGTTCATTAGCATTCTCCAACTCCTTTCTCAAATTCTGTATTTGATTTTCTGTAAAATAAGAAACCATAAATTGAGCATTGCAACAAAACATGAACATGACTTGGCAAGTCACTAGTCACTATAACATAATGTCTTAACAAGAGGCCCATGGGCCACATCGCTCACCTGAGCACTGTGGATAGGAAAAAGTAGAACTGGTTTATTATTGAAAAGTTTAAATCCAAAAGTATTCCCATGACCAATCATGTCTTTGCTATTCTTGAGAAGATATGATTTTTAAAAGAATTTTCCTAAATATGTCTATGTAAAACTCTGATCGGCCATTGTAGCTCCACCCTACCCCCGGGGGTCATGATTTGAACAAACTTGAATCGACACTACCTGAGGATGCTTCCATATAAATATGATCAATTATGGCTTTGCTATTCTTGAGAAGAAGATTTTTAAAGAATTTTCCTATATATTTCTATGTAAAACTTTGGTCGGCCATTGTGGCCCCGCCCTACCCCCCGGGGTCATGATTTGAACAAACTTGATTCTACACTACCTGAGGATGCTTCCATATAAATATGATCAATTACGGCTTTGTTATTCTTAAGAAGAAGATTTTTAAAGTATTTTCCTATATATTTCTACGTAAAACTTTGGTCGGCCATTGTGGCCCCGCCCTCCCCCCCGGGGTCATGATTTGAACAAACTTGATTCTACACTATCTGAGGATGCTTCCATATAAATATGATCAATTATGGCTTTGTTATTCTTGAGAAGAAGATTTTTAAAGAATTTTCCTATATATTTCTATGTAAAAATTTGGTCGGCCATTGTGGCCCCGCCCTACCCCCGGGGGTCATGATTTGAACAAACTTAAATCTACACTACCTGAGGATGTTTCCCCATAAGTTTCATCTTTCCTGGCACTGTGGTTCTTGAGAAGAAGATTTTTAAAACATGCCACCAAATTTTCATTAATTCCCAATTATCTCCCCTTGAATGAGGGCCTGGCCCTTCATTTGTTGAATCCCCTTCACCCAAGGATACTTTGTGGCAAGTTTGGTTGAAATTGGCCCAGCGGTTCTTGAGAAGAAGTCGAAAATGTGAAAAGTTTACGGACAGACAGACAAACGGACAGCTCGACAGACGGACGGACAGCTAGACGGACAGACGGACGCCGGACAAAATGTGATCAGAAAAGCTCACTTGAGCCTTCGGCTCAGGTGAGCTAAAAACATTAGCTTCAAAAATTCTCATATTTTCACCGGACACAAAACTCCTTTTATTAATTTAGTACCTATACCTTTTACACCCGCCCTCATACTTTATCGTTATTAATCTAACCTCTATCTGTGAGTTCCACGTTGAGTTGTTCTACGTACCTCTATCTGTGAGTTCCACATTGAGTTGTTCTACGTCTGTCTGGTGCTGCCTCTGTAGCTCAGTGTAGGAGATCGAGGCGTCCTTCAGTAACTTTCTCAGCTCGTCCACAGCCCCCATCAACTCCTTACACTTCTCCTCCAGGTCCGTGGCCTGACCCTGATCAACACACACAAATATATGTACCTCACTCTTCAATACCCATAGCATTTGGTGTGTGGGGCAATTAATATACACATGTTCAGGTATTTGTGCCCTGAAATGACTACATTGTATGTATACATGGTGAAATGACTACATTGTATGTATACATGGTGTTTTTCTTTTGTGCTTAAAGATGGTAACTTTCTGCGACATGCACATACACTTATGAAATATGAATACATGTATCAGATGTTGTTTTCTTTGTATGCTGCTGTTTATGAGTTACAGATATTATTTTTACCTTGTAGAGATCAGACAATTTCTGATTGGCCTCCAGTTCCTGTCTGAATTGTTCATCTGCCTGAACCTGATTGTTATGGGCCTGATATAGAAAAAAATATTTACACATGCACTAGTATGGCAGATAACTCTCCTGTATGAAAACTGAAATTCTGATTTTTCTATTCAATTGTTGTACAAACAACATTGTATGTGTTACAAATGAAGAATCCTTACATCTTGTAGTTTTTCTATGTATTGTTCAATCTTCTTGACTTGTTCTGCATTGGTCTTTCTCAGTGTTTCTAGCGTGTTCTGCAGATGTTGATTTTCATCTGTCTGTTCTTCTAAGCGACTTTGTAGGTCCAAATTCCTTGCAGACTGTATAAAAAACATAATAAATATAGAAATTTAACACTAACAAGCAAGTCAGATACATGTGCTTTTTTCTTTATTATATAACTTTGAGATAGAAAAGTAAGTACCTCTAATTTAAAATAGTCTAATGTTATATGGCTACATAAGTTCTAAGTACTGTTTAATATAACATCTAAAAAGGTATAATAGAAGAAAGATTTAGCTATCACAAGAAATTAGTGTAACTGTTACCTGTTCCTTCCTGACATTAAATAACTGCTGGGTTTTCTCTGACAAGTCCTTGTTTAACAAATCAATCTGTCTCTGTAGAGCTTCCTTCTCTTCCTCCAGTCTCTTCTGTGTAAACTACAACAGCATGGATATAAATCTAAATGTCAACTCTCAGAGTAATGGTGCACATAAAAATCATGTAATCCTTAGTCAGGGATGATTTAATCTGGTGAACTTACCTGTGATGTGACAACCTGACTCTGGAATTCAGCAGTCTGGGCCTGAGCTTCCGTCTTCTCTCTGTTGGCCTGAGCTAACTTATCAGACAAACTACTCCACTCCTCTGTAATCATAAATAATCATGTGTAACTAACTAAAGCAGTCATATCCAATGTAAAAAAAGCATGAACTGTGAAAAACTCCAGGGATATACACATGTAGCTTGGTGGGCAAAAGCAGAAAAGTCCTAGCAGTCAGAGATTAAAAGAATGAATGATAAAGAGGTCAATTACGGGTACAGTTAACTTTCAATAAGGTTCAGCATTCCCTACCATTTAGTCTCTCTATCTCTTTACTCCTCTTTTCCAGTAAAACTGTCAGATCCCTTTTTTCTGATTCAAGGGTTTCATTTGCTTTTGTCAAACGGAGCTGAAAGAAAAAGGATAAGGAATAGCAATATTTGTGGAGCCTCAACTGGCACACACAGAATTAAACACAAACTCTGACAACAGTGTACAGGTACCTGTGTAGAGAGCGAAGAGTTTTCTTCTTCCTGAGTTGACTTCAATTTTTCTGTTGCTGTTGTTAACTTTTCAACTAAAAATATCAATATGTAAATAAATCAAATATACCATACAAATATAGTGTAAATGAACTTTGTGTAGTTGGAACATTGCTTGTTTATACCCAGTTTAAGAGTATCATATTTCTTTTCAGAGGGTATGAAGAAATTTTCATTTTCACAAAAAGTCCAATTAAAAATGACTGTTTTATATTTTTAAAAACAAATTAACAAGTACATGTACCTGTGTCGGCCAACTCTGTCTTTAACTGGGCATTTTCTGCAGCTAGCTTTTCTAGGTTTCCCTGGATCTCTGCCAGCTGACTCTCAACTTCTAACTGTCTTTGTTCTAGAATGATATTCAGACCAAAACCTCATTATATAAAGTGAAAACAGACTTCTAAACTTTAATGAATAATGCCATGTGCTATATAGTGTTGTTAAGATAGTCAATGACTATCAAAAAATCATCGCTGAGGATAGAATGTTGGCAACAATCGATAGAAAGTTTTAAAATCGATAGTCGCTAAATAAACAAAATGGTTTATCTTTGAACTTTATTAAAAGACGTTCCTTTATTTCTTAAAATGGGGCCCACTCAAGTTTTAGTTGGGTGGATTTTTCCCTGCCAAATCTGTGTTTGATCAATCAGCTGATTTAATTTTTACCAAGAATGTTAATTGTAACTTTATTTGAGATATAAAATATTTCAGCTTAGAAAACATTCACCTTAAATATGATGAATAATGATCATCATTATATCATCTATCAACTCAAACATAACTGTACACTGTAAATACCACACCTGATTAATTCAGTCTGTGGATGTTTGATCCTTTTTATTGAAACATTTATGGAGAGTGAAAATAAATGTTTTAAACCAAAAACTTTATTTATTTATATATTAGGCTAATATGTGAGATTGTACATTAGCCAAAAAAAATTAAATAAATCCTTTATGACCGAACCTTGATTTTTGGGTATGTTGAATTGACAGATTTGTATTGAAATAGCATTTTCATTTCCAATGATATATAAAAATTTCATGGTTTATAACTTTGTTTAAAATAAAGTTCATATTATCTATTATATAATCAACTGTATGCTTCCAATTCAATTTGATAATCGATTGTAAATTTGGTCCAATTTTGCAATACTACCATGTGCTGTTATTGATTTTGATTGAGTTTGTGACTTTTAACCTTCCAAATCAAGTGGAAAACAAATTATAAAAGATGATAAGACTGGGAATCTTGTTTGACTACTTAACCATTTCAACACCTTTGGAATAAGGACGAAATGCTCATTAACATTTGTACATGCTTCACCAAGCAGCTTCACATTAAAAGGGTCTTTTAAATTGTAGAATTATAGAGTCAATGTAAATAAGGGTGTTGCGATACATACTTGTGTAATGGACAAAAACAGTATCAGGAGACAAACACTGCATACATCTTCACAATGCCATGAGTCAACACATTGCCATTGGTCCCATGGACAGTTTCACTTGATATTTTAGACCTTGCTTGAAGCCTTCTCTGATTGAGAAGCACTAATCAAATAAAAACTTTCATATTTACTGCGATATAAATGTGAAAAAGATTTCAATGCACATGTAACTAGCTGTTTATCATAAAATGGCTTAACAGGTCCGGCACAATCTCTTGATTAAGCTATATAGCTTGATTTAGTTATACAGCTTTATCAAGGTATTCAGAATAGCTTGATTAAGCTATTTTGCAAGACTTTTTATTCAACATGTGCAAAAAGTCGCACTGTGGTGCAGTGGGAATATTAAAGTTTAAACTCTTCTGAATACAATGCATGTAAAAATCACTTACCAAATTGCATCTCCTTGAGAGACTTTGTACTCAAAGTTTTAGGGCTATTGATGAATGACCACACAGTTACTTCTTGAATGAAATTATAAAGGAGGCCAGTTATGGCCAACAGGATAACTGATTATTAAGAGTTTAGCACATGATAAGCAATCATACTTAACCACGTACACACAGTTATAAACAATGGAAATTCATATTTTGCTATATTCAACAGCAGCAATGTTAAAACTTTCTATGATTTAGGTTGTATTTTTGATAGTCCATAGTACATATATGAATATTCAAATACTTGCGACTTTTTTTTTATTTCTTGCAAAAAACGTTTTTGTGAAAAAGTGCATATTAATAGCGAGCACAGCGAGCGTCGCGAAGTGACTCTCGCAAAGCGAGCTTTTAGACAAAAAAGAACATTCGGATTGTTTGGATACGCTGGATAAATTTTTCTGTGAAACATTCCTAATTGTGATTACCCAATGTCCTTTGCACGAATAAATAAATAAATAATAAATAATAACGTAAAGCATGAAAGGCTATCAGTTTGTAGATATTTTTCAAATAAACAAAAAATAACTCTGCAAAGTTTTTCGACCAGAATTGCTCTAGGTCTATAGTTTCAGCCAGATGCTCGGCTGTCCCCGTAATCTCCAACGAGCTCTGTGACATCGTGTGACGTCACAGGTAGTCGAGACGTCTCGTGCGGCCTGATGTTTGAAATGGCGGATAAATATTTTTCAAGTTTATACGATGGTACAACTGCGCTCGCCCCAACGGTCACACCGTAAAACATATTAGCTTTATCAAGCTATTTTGAATAGCTTAATAAAGCTATATAGCTTAATCAAGAGATTGTGCTGGACCTGCTTAATGTGATTGGTTGAGAGATAAGAAAAACATTTTTTTTCAAGGTGTCTATATTATATAGGTGAACTATTGCTATATAGGGGTCCAATCGCATATGTAGCTAAATATGGCACTGATGATTTGAGAATTGAAGGAATAATCATTTCCATTTCTCCTTTCAGAAGCATGTGGACACAGAATATTATGAAAGGTGAAATATCACAATACATATCTTGATACTGTTCAAATGTGTTATAATATACAAAGAAATACTTAAGCCGTATTGTTCTAATGCTCACAAATATGTGTGCGTATTTTCTGTTATTTAAAAAATGCCTACACCGGCGTCTCGTCCAATACCTGAGGTAACGGAAAGACGTTCGTATTTGACCTTCAGTTCCTCATACTGTGACGTTCTAGATGTAAAAGCACGTTGAATTTTCTCTTTCACACCACCAGACAACTGATTTAATTCATGTTCTTCCAAAATATTGTTTAAATCAGGTGGTCTAAAATTTTCAATGCCCGCCATGATTGCGACGGAAGGGGTGCGTCGATTTACCCAAAAGGACCCAAAAGGACCCAAAAGAACCCAAAAGGACCCAAAAGGAACCCAAAAGGACCCAAAAGGAACCCAAAAGGAACCCAAAAGGACCCAAAAGGACTTTAATTAATATATTATAATACATTGAAAATTAATAATTTTAATTAAATTATGAATATTATATTATACATTTACGTAAAAGTTTACAAAAAACATACATTTATATTGTTGCAACTATAACAATAACATATAACTTTTATAGCACATCAAACACTAAATCTGGTCAGGTATGCTTTGATTTCTTTTAGCTGAAATTAACAAAGTATTATTACTTCTCCTTTTGTTTTACCATATCTTACTATATGATATTTAATAAATGAAAAAAGTTTTATTTTATGACATGTTATAGGCATATGGTATCGGGGTTGGGTGGGGTGGGCGTCGGTGGGGGACCTCCCACCTCTAGTCCAAACACACACTTTCCACTCAAAAAAACTAGTTTCAGATTTAATAAAATATGAAAATGTTTATTATATATCCATTTATTATCTTTATTTAAAGTACTTTTGGGTTGTTATTAATTTCCTTTTGGGTCCTTCTGATTTCCTTTTGGGTCCTTTTGGGTTCCTTTTGGGTCCTTTTGGGTTCTTTTGGGTCCTTTTGGGTCCTTTTGGGTAAATCGACGCACCGCGACGGAAGTAGTGTTGCACGCGAGAGCAGAATTGGGTAAAACTATTCCACTCATTTTTTTGTTTTAATGTGAAAAAATAACTTTCTTATTTTAATTATTATTGTAAAAGACTTTATCATGTGGAAATCAGATAAATAACAAATGGGCACATCTTTATTTCTATCCCCATAATTTATTTTTTGGATTGAAACATTAAATTGCTAACTAGTTTACATATGATGTGACTTCAATGCCCGCCCCCTTTTGAATAAAGATCAAGACTTACTTCCAAAGCCAAAATATGTCACGTCCAACAAAGATCACGGCAGTGACAGTGAAAGATATAAGATTCCCTACGTCTTTAGAGAAGGATGGATCAGATGCAATGGTAAACAACAATGAATAATAATTCTTTTTTTGAAATTAAACTAAGTGAAATTGAACTTCTCAAGCAAACATCAGGTGATCAGTGTAAAATATTTAACTGTTGAATATTATTGTAGTAATTTTTATGATTTACTTTGTTATGCATGATGTTTGAAATGAAAACAATTCTGTATGTGATCCTAAACTAATGTATGCACATGTGTTTTTATGACAATTCCTAGGATTATATAGACAATTCCTAAAAGAAATCCTTGATGCTGTATATTTTTTCTGAAATTCAACACTTTTAAAAGTTAGCTGAAGTTTATCTTACAAATGGTTTTGTAAGAGGAAAGGGAAATCGGTGGGTGGATGATGTGGACTGAAAAGGGTACCCAATACTCTTGCATTGCTAGTCATGCAATGGTAGACGCAGCTAGGTGCATTGCCAGTCAGGTGCATTAAATTGACAGTTGGGTGCATTGCCAGTCGAGTGCATTGCCAGTCAGGTGCATTGACAGTCGGGTGCATTGCCAGTCAGGTGCATTGCCAGTCGGGTGCATTGCCAGTCGGGTGCATTGCCAGTCGGGTGCATTAATTAATTGCCAATCAGGTGCATTAAATTGCCAGTTGGGTGCATTGCCAGTTGAGTGCATTGCCAGTCGGGTGCATTGCCAGTCAGGTGCATTAATTAATTGCCAATCAGGTGCATTGCCAGTCAGGTGCATTAAATTGCCAGTTGGGTGTATTGCCAGTCGAGTGCATTGCCAGTCAGGTGCATTGCCAGTCGGATGCATTGCCAGTCAGGTGCATTGCCAATCAGGTGCATTAAATTGCCAGTTGGGTGTATTGCCAGTCGAGTGCATTGCCAGTCAGGTGCATTGCCAGTCGGGTGCATTGCCAGTCAGGTGGATATATCCACTAATCCATCTAACTATATTAAACTAAATCCCAAATATACCACATATTTCTCCCTCTATAAGTTTTTTTTCAATCTCATATTGAAACACGATTTAGATTGATTTAGGACTTTAAAATACAAATCCTAGAGGTACAGCACCAAATAAAACAGAGAAAGGAAAGCATTTATGACAGGACCAGAATCTGGCTGTGGGAGCCATGACGTGTTAATAAGTCAGGTGCTCTAATCACTTATATGATTAGTCACCCAGGTCGACAGCCCAGGTCAACACAACCAAAATATTCTCAAATCCTGGCCAGGGCACCAAATGTAAAATGAAAAGGGGAGAATCTGTGGATTAACTGGAATTAAAACTCAGGGATAATTATGCAAAAATAAAAATTGATTGACCATATTGAACACATGTATTATGTATCATTTTAGAGGGTAGTTGACACATCAGCTAGGACTTAAGTGTACAATCTTTAAAGTGCATTATCTTTTTCAACACCATGAGCATTCCTATCCTTATCAAAAGCCCCCGCCTTCCAACTTAAAAATATCAATTAAAGTTCTTTAAAATTAGATTCTATTATCAAGGATAATAGAATCTAATTTTAAAGAACTTTAATTAATTGATATTTTTAAGTTGGAGGGCGGGGGCTTTTGATAGGAATGCTCGTGGAGTTGAAAAAGATACATGTACTCATACATATATATTGTAAAGTTCATAATTGACTCACGATGACAAATTTATTCTATTAGAAATATATGTAATTCAGATTTCACACGTCAGTTACAACATATTACTTTGTAGCATAAGTCTCCAGATTATTCTGCAGCATATGTGACACTGAAAACGGACTCAGATGTCACTGCATATGGAACAACATTTGCTAATGGAAGAGGGACCAACATTGGTAAAACTCAGTGTTCTCTGACCATGTCACCACAGCCTGTTGTGTAGCTCAGTCCAACTCTGCATAGCCTCACGTTATAACCATTTATTTGTTGATCTGCTTTTTGCTTTTAGCATAAAGCCCCTGATTATTCCTGTCCATATGTCACCATACAGACAGACTCTGCTCTTCAGGGAAATGGGACCACATTTACTGTGGGACGAGGGAACCACATAGGTAGGTTTAATGGCACCACATTTACTATGGGACAAGGGAACACATGGGTAAGATTAATAACACCACATTTAATGTAGGACAGGGAACCACATAGGTAGGTTTAATTGCACCACATTTACTGTGGGACAAGGGAACACATAGGTAGGATTAATAGCACCACATTTACTGAAGGACAGGGAACCACATAGGTAGGGTTAATGAAAGGCACCACATTTACTGTAGGACGAGGGAACCACATAGGTAGTATGAACAAAATGGCACCACATTTACTGTAGAATGGGAGAACCACAGAGGTAGGTTTGAATACTGGCACCAGGTAGGCTTAAATAATGGCACCACATTTACTGTAGTATGGGAGAACCACAGAGGTAGGTTTAAATAATGGCACCAGGTAGGCTTAAATAATGGCACCACATTTACTGTAGAATGAGGGAACCACATAGGTGGGCTTAATTAATGGTGAGGACAGTAGCTAGTTAAGTAAAGTGTTTAATTTGTTAGTTTCAGAGTAAGTTTCCATTGACATATTAATTGTAAGAAACTTCATCTTTAGTCAGTCATGACAAACTCTTAATAATCATGCTTATATATGCACCTCAATGCATCAAATTTTATCTATTATAGATAAACCACAAAATTTTAGTATAAATTGAAATATTTTCTTTGGGTTATTTCTAAGCAAAAGAAGTGAGAAATTTTATCTAGCTTGTTATTTTCTGTTTCAGTTTGTTGTGCTGTGGAGGTTTTTGAAAAGATGCTAGTGGGTAAAAAGCTCACAGAGATCTTTGATGACTTTGGGAATTTCTGGCAGTCGCTTGTCAGTGAGGACCAAATCAGATGGGTAAGTCTCTGTAATTTTTCAGTGAGGACAAAATCAGATGGGTAAGTCTCTGTTATTTCTCAGTGAGGACCAAATCAGATGGGTAAGTCTCTGTCATTCCTTAGTGGGGACAAAATCAGATGGATAAGTCTCTGTCATTTCTCAGTGAGGACCAAATCAGATGGGTAAGTCTCTTCTGTGTCATTTCTCAGTGAGGGCCAAATCAGATGAGTAAGTCTTTGTCATTTCTCAGTGAGGACCAAATCAGAAGGGTAAGTCTTTGTTATTTTTCAGTGAGGACCAAATCAGATGGGTAAGTCTCTGTTATTTCTCAGTGAGAACCAAATCAGATGGGTAGGTCTGTGTCATTTCTCATTGAGGACCAAATCAGATGGGTAAGTCTCTGTCATTCCTTAGTGGGGACCAAATCAGATGGATAAGTCTCTGTCATTTCTCAGTGAGGACCAAATCAGATGGGTAAGTCTCTTCTGTGTCATTTCTCAGTGAGGACCAAATCAGATGGGTAGGTCTGTGTCATTTCTCAGTGAGGGCCAAATCAGAAGGGTAAGTCTTTGTTATTTTTCAGTGAGGACCAAATCAGAGGGGTAAGTCTCTGTTATTTCTCAGTGAGGACCAAATCAGACGGGTAAGTCTTTGTTATTTCTCATCGAGGACCAAATCAGAGGGGTAAGTCTCTGTCATTTCTCAGTGAGGACCAAATCAGATGGGTAGGTCTGTGTCATTTCTCAGTGAGGACCAAATCAGATGGGTGGGTCTGTGTCATTTCTCATTGAGGACCAAATCAGAGGGGTAAGTCTCTGTTATTTCTCAGTGAGGACCAAATCAGATGGGTAGGTCTGTGTCATTTCTCAGTGAGGACCAAATCAGATGGGTAAGTCTGTGTAATTTCTCAGTGAGGAACAAATCAGATGAGTAAGCCTCTAATTTCTCAGTGAGGACCAAATGAGACAGGTAAGTCTCTGTCATTTCTCAGTGAGGACCAAAGCAGATGAGTAAGTCTCTGTTATTTCTCAGTGAGGACCAAATCAGATGAGTAAGTCTCTGTAATTTCTCAGTGAGGACCATATCAGATGGGTAGGTCTGTGTCATTTCTCAGTGAGGACCAAATCAGATGGGTAAGTCTTTGTCATTTCTCAGTGAGGACCAAATCAGAAGGGTAAGTCTTTGTTATTTTTCAGTGAGGACCAAATTGGATGGGTGGGTCTGTGTCATTTTTCATTGAGAACGAAATCAGATGGGAAAGTCTATGTAATTGTTAGTGAGGACCAAATCAGATGAGTAGGTTTGTGTAATTTCTCAGTGAGGACCAAATCAGACGAGTAAGTCTCTGTAATTTCTTAGTGAGGACCAAATCAGACAAGTAGGTTTGTGTAATTTCTCAGTGAGGACCAAATCTCACAGATAAGTGTCTCTGTAATTTCTCAGTGAGGACCAAATCAAAGAAAGTCATTGTATTTTTTCTGTGAGGATAAGTCTTGTAATATCACAGGAAGCATAATGTATCATTATTTTTCAAATAGAAATATTAAGAATATTTATTTAACTCGTGATAAATTAATATCAAAATCTTTTTATTTTAATCCTGAGTGTATAGTCTGAATGCATCAAATTTATTTCCAGCTTGGTCCGGAAAAAGGAGTGATTCACTTAGCAACAGCAGCCATTGTCAATGCATTGTGGGATTTGTGGGCCAAAATAGAAAACAAGGTTCTATATCTATTATAAATGAAAAAATAGTTACATAGATTTGTATGCCATAATATTTTTATCATACAAAAATCTGATGATTTGTGGTCTAAGTAGATATTGTTGTCAATTTATACATTAAACTCTATCACTTTTCTCACCGATATTAAATAAATTTCTGTATTTTTCAGCCTCTTTGGAAATTGCTGGTAGATATGGTGAGTCTCTTTCAAAATTAGATAGAATAATTCAATGATACAAGTATTCATTGCACATCATTCATGTACATACAGCAGTTATGTACATACAGCAGTTATGTAACGGTATGAAACAAAACTTTCATGTAAGTTCAATTGTATTTAAGGCATCAAACTTTTTAGAATTATTTTTTTTATTTTCAGGAGCCAGAAAAGCTTGTGTCTACTATTGATTTCAGATATATGTAAGATTCTACATCTATTTAAAAGTGTATCCTCTATTAGAGTAAAATAGGTGTAATGACTGCCATGAAATCGTCTGATCTGTACCAAACTTTGTAGGTCTGATACTCTGACTAAAGAGGAAGCTATAGGTAAAGCACTATTTCAATTGTCCTCTCCTTCTGAAGATTGTACTTCATTGTCCCTACACATGTATCAAAGCTGTATCAGGTTTTCCCTGCATGTGAGAATTTATGTGCATCGACCTTAAAACTTTCCCATGGCAAGTTTCTCTGCTCCAAATTAAGATCCCTCTTTACAGCTATCTCCCAAACAATGACAAAAGCATTGTTGTTAACTAAAAGAAAATGAAGATGAAAGTGAATGTATCAAGACGATTTAAATCTTATATACATGTATTGAATGTTTTATTTTTCTTCAGAGATTTTGAAGAAAATGCAAGATGGAAAGAAGGCAAGAGGTATCAGTCGCAACAATTTATTGTATCATTAATTTAGTTAATGATTGAACATAGTAGATTTCTAACAAATATAAAAATATAAATACATGTAAATAAATATTAAACAAGAAATTTAATATTGGGTATACTCAATAGTCTGATTATTGATATACACTGTGAATAAAAAATATTCATGAGCTGATTTTTCATAGTCAACACTGTAAAATCAGTTATTTTCATGGGGTCAATTTTTTATGCATTGTCGGAACCCATGGGTTTTCTTTCTGTTACACTGAATGCAAAATATTAATTTATTAAATCTCATGGATATTTTGGACACAAAAGGTGGGAGTACAACAAAGAGTGAACCCGTGGGTTCTGATGATGGTTTTCATGGTTGAAGTTATACAGAGTACAAAGTATTTGAGACCATTTGCATTTCAATGCAAGAAAATGGTTTCTCCTTTGCAATATATTCAACAGAATGTACTGGGTATCAATCAAATTAAAGGAAATGTTTGTTATAGAGGAGGAGCTCCTGGCCAAAGGTTTCCCTGCCTACACCACCTCCTGTGGATGGCTGGGGTACTCAGACGAGAAAATTAAAAAGGTTTGTTTACTAAATACATAGCAGTGTCATAGGAAATATTTTATAAAGTTTAGTCAATGTGGAAGTGAAAGGCATTTTAAAATTAAGAATTTCTTTTGTTTTACACATAGCTTGCAACAGAGGCCATGGCAGCAGGATGGACAAGGTAAATAGTTTTATTCCTTAATTGTTCAACTTCTTTAATTTCCTTGAAAATTAGTGTATTTAGGCAGTGATAAAAGTTATAATAGTAAGGATTTATTTCTTTATCTAGATTTAAAATGAAAGTAGGAGGAGATGTAAATGATGATGTCAGACGCGCCAAAATCTTCAGGGAGACGATCAAAGAAGACATGCTTCTGGCGAGTATATTGTGCATATTTGGATTACCTCTACAAAGTTATAGATTAGCTTTTACCCCACCTCTGTCGATTTTTCCGTGAAATCCTGGCTTATGATTGGTTGAAGTCTGTCACGTGAAGGCGGTGGATTACTTATACCCAGTCAGTTGTAAATCTATACCCGGTCGGTGTATTACGTCACAAACACAAACGTGACGTCATAATAGGCACAGTATAAGCGTGATGAAGCATTTAACATAGAAAACCATTTATAAACTACAGATAAAACGTAAATGTTTCATCGGTGGGGTAAATTCGTTACATAGTCTTTTAGTGACAGGGTATGGGATGATACCTGGTTAGTAAATTTCATACCTGACTCGGTTTCGCCTCGCCAGGTATGAAATTTACTAACCAGGTATCATCCCATACCCTGTCACTAAAAGACTATGTAATTAATAATCCTTTACCCCAGCACTTATGTGACTGCCCCTAATTTTCAAGTTTAAGGAGCAAGTTCATTCCAAAGTAAAGATGAGCCGAACCTGGACAAAACTTGTATGGGTGATACTTCTAGGGATGCACACTACCTGATCAGATTTGGATGCTGAATCTGACCTACTTGTATATTTAACAAAGTTAAAAGTTAAGGGATCAATTTTTTTCTAGCAGGTCCATTTTCATGCAGCATTAATTTGTAGTGACCAAACTAACATTAATGATGCATCTAGGTATAGTAATTGATGCACACTAGCAGACTTACTTTGGTTACTGAATCTGACCTACATTTTCTGATAAGTGTACAGGTTTAAGTTTTTGGCACAATCCATTAACAGGTAACTATATGTACCGGTATAAGCCTTATGAACAAATTTGCATTTCTAGCTGATACATCTTGCAGACTATCAAACTACCAGAGCATTTATTTGGTATGAGATTTTGCTGTAGTTATAGATAGCATTCATTGAGGTGAGCTTCATAACCTTTGATTACCTATGTTTAAGGTATACAGGATATTATCCAGTAATAAAAAACTTATCGCATAATTTGACTGTTTTTGACAGATGGTGGACGCTAACCAGAAATGGGAGGTCCAGGAAGCCATTGATTGGATGAAGCAGATGGCTGACTACAAGATTCTGTGGATAGAGGAACCAACCAATCCTGATGATGTCATGGGTCATGCAGCCATCGCAGAGGTCAGGGGTCTTACCTAAATAAAATCTTTATAAATCTTTATCCATATCATCAGCATTAGCTAGTTTTTTGCAATAGAAAAGAAAAGACTAAAATCTATAATAGCTATAAATATCTGTCCCAAGAATCAAATTTTGAAGGAGATATCTTGAATTAAGTTCTAAACCAGTGGAGATATTTGCAGTTTTTCAAGTTTTAGATGATTTAATCAACCATGATGTTATAAGTTTTAGATATGATGTAAAGAAAATGACATTTATTCAAAATTTTAATAATTAATGAATTTTACCTTGCTATTTTGATTGAAAATTATCAAGCCCAGATCTTTTCTGATTCAATCTTTTGTTATTTTATATAATGTAAACTATCAGTCATGTATGCATGTATATTTCTTTTCCATGTATAGCTCTTTACGATCCCATCCTAACTAAATATAAACCTTTATTCCAGGCCCTTGTACCTCTAGGTATAGGAGTTGCCACTGGAGAGATGTGTCAGAACAGAGTCATGTTTAAACAGTTTCTGAAGGCCAAGGCCATGCAGTATTGTCAGATTGATGCATGTCGACTAGGCGGAGTTAATGAAGTTCTGGCTGTAATTCTATTGGCTGCCAAATACAATGGTTTGTCATCACTAATTAAAGACTCAGTTCTTAATCCAAAATTTCAGCAATGTCAAGATTTTAACATTGTTCTTACAGGAACTGATAATTTTTAAAGAACTTTTAATTCTCCCCTTTTCCTCCCTCTAGTTCCTGTTTGTCCACATGCAGGAGGCGTGGCACTGTGTGAACTTGTTCAGCATCTCTCCATGTTTGACTTCATCTGTGTTTCGGGGACAATGGAAAATCGGTAAGTCATTTTTTTAATGAAAATTTTCATGTTAGCTTTACATAAAAGTTTACTGTTAGGGGTTTGCAAGAAAATCTTATATTTGTTACTGCAAATCAATTTGATAAACTATATTTACTGCCAAGTTTGTCACACACTGTATGAATCTGATGATGTACTGTCTTGTCTCCCTTTAGGATGATAGAATTTGCTGATCATCTTCATGAACACATGTTGGCGCCAGTCGTCTTAAAAGGAGGAAGATACATGGCACCTAAGGTAAACTCTCAGGAAAAATACATGTCATTATCACTTACTGATTATTTTCTTTCATTATTTCTCATGATATTTTATTTGTAATGAAGATTTTTTTCACCCCTAATAGTGATATATTTATATGTACACCCACTGAATAATTTCCCATTAATTTTTCTGTGAAAAGATATTGTTATTCCATCCATTAATTCTCACATACCAATCAGAATAGGTTTTTAGCTCACCTGAGCTGTTTAACCTCTTCTTAAAATATGTTTTTTTCTGCAATGACTGCAACTGATGATTCCTGCATTAAAGAAAGAAAGCATTTTAAAACAGTTTCAATGATCAAAATATATGTGTTATTTTCTAGACACCAGGGTATGTTATGGGAATCAAGGACCAGTCTCTGGCTGATTTTGTCTACCCAGAGGGGGCCGAATGGCAGCGGATGTTTAAGGAGGGATTGTTTCAACAGGAATGAGTGAAAGAACAATTAACTGTGTAATTAATGTGTAGTCCAATCAGTGCCAATAAATATATTAATTATGAAATTTATTGTCTTTTTACATGTATAACCAGATCAGAATTATTAACTTTTTAAGAACTAAAGTGCCTGATTTTTTATTATGAAATATTCATTTTATAAGCCAGTGTACATATTTATGAAATGTGCATTTAGTTTTCAGTGCAAATTGTTATGAGTATTTAAGGTATTTCCATCCTCGTATGATGTCATAGGTTTTTGCAAAAACCGTTATTTATATTAATCCATACCTAATAGAACAATATCTTTTGAAAGAATGCTTCGCAATAGGTATGATGGTAAATATTGTTAAATTGAAGAATTTTAAAAATGAATATTTTCTTCATTTAATCAATTATTCAATCTTCAAAAAATGTTGACAAGGGCAATAACTCCTTCTCAGGTATCTTCATTTAGGCACAATCTGTTTTGCACTTCTAATGTAAAATAGTTTCCCTGATATTCAAAATTCAAAAGTATCTGATAAGTCTCAAGTAAATACGAACTTTCAGCATCAGAATTATGCATTTGAACCAGTTTTTTACATAATTTTTATAATACGTACTGTTTACAAAAAATGTACAATTTTTTTATGTTGACATATAGGTATGCTTATTTACCAGTATGTCTCCAAACTTTAATAATATGCCGACCTATACATTTTTTGTGATAATTGGTAAATTGAAACTATATTAAATAAAAATAAATGCAGTTCTTGTACTTTGAACCATTAGAATTGTGAGGGTGGAAAGACCTTAATTTGTTACTAGCATTTTTACGTTAACAAGCTATACTGTCATAGTCATCTCTCCAAGACCATGATGGACATTGAATGGATAATTTATTTTATTCTAGATTACTAGATTTAAATTATGAATGAAAAAGAAAACAATTATTGTGGATTCAATATTTTTATGGGGATCGACCAATTTTCTTGGATTTCATTGGTCATCCTTTCCCTTAATAAATTTACATCCAACTGAACATTAAATTTGAAAATACATGTATTTTAAATATCAGTGAAGTGAATCTTTGGTATGGGTAAGTACAAGTTTAATAGGCTACAAAATAATCTCCATACAGACCAGGAAATTAACATTGCCCCATCCCTGCCTCCATGATTTACAATGAATCCACTTACTTGTTTTAAACTTAAATACTTATAGTGAATTTATAGTTTTGAAACAAAATTATTATTTGATCTGGTGAACTGTGACAATTTAATTATGTTAATATATATATATATATATATATATATATATATATATATATATATATATATATATATATATATATATATATATATATATATATATATATATATATATATATATATATATATATATATATATATATATATATATATATATATATATATATATATATATTGCTAAAGTTATTTAATGAATGTGGTTAGATTTTTGTGAGGATTTAAAGTATATACAGCTCAATTCATGAATTGCAGAAGCTACAATATAACTGTGCAATAAAGTAATGCTAAATAAAATGTTAAAAGTTTTCTTTGTTCTCTTTTGTGATATTTTTTTTAGCTCACCTTAGTAAAAAGGCTCACATAATTGAAATTATGAAATTGCAAACTATACTTGACTGATCTTAACCAAATTAGTCACAAAGGATTTTTTTGTTAAAAAAAATTGTTTAAAATGAAGAGATGCATGGGCTTTCTTTCAAGGAAGGATAACAAATAAGTATGTTAAATGAAACTTGATTAAAATGACTAAGACCATAGACCAGAAAAGGTGAAACAATCCAATTAACAATTTGAAGTTGTTGCTATGTCTTTATAACAAAATTTTATCTTGAAAAAGAAGACATTTAATATACATATAAGTATTTTTTATCATGAAATTTTTATTTTGATAAAAAATATCTCCTCTTCAGATAAGCTCTGGTGACCTGAACTTGGTGTGAAATCTATCAATTCTACAGAAATTGAAAAAATCTAATCAATTGTTTATTCAAACAGTTAACATGTTTATTGAAAAATATCAGTTTCTGTTAGTGTAAGTCGTTGGCAGAAAATCAAACCTAACTGTGGCCGAGTTAACTGATTTTCACTTTTGCTTCAACCGGAAGTCTATTTTTGTCGTTAGGTGGCGTAGACGATAAAATCGTCACATGAGCTTTACTGACAGTGCATAGACATATTTCAACTAATTTGTGCTGATCATATGGATCCAAAATATATACAGTTTGCAGGATAACTACATGGGCTACTCATCTCCTCTTTTATTAAATGATCGATGAAAGAAAGTGTAACGAACACGCCCCCTGGTGAAAGTGAAAGTAGGATTTCTAAACTGAAGGAGTGAAGCGATGGCAGACTTTTTGGCAGAAAACAATCCTTGTGGTCAAAATATCCTGCGGTTAGCTTCAAGAGGAAATGCAATTATTGCCGAACTGCGCCGCTTAGCGGAGTTTATACCACCAGTATTTAAATTAGAGACACAGCAAGACCGACTAAGATATGGAGATATCATATTTGATTTTGCATATTTTAAAAGCCAAGAATATTATGACAACAAGATAGATAGCAAGCCCGTAAGTCTATACATTTTATTTACATGCAAAGTTTCTTCTACAGAAAGTATCCTTTAAAATCAATTTACATGTTAAAGATTGTTTTTCAATTTAGGAACTCCAAGATTTAGATGAAGAATTCCGCGAGAATCATATTGATATATTGACCAGATTTTATCAAGCATTTGCCAGTGTTCATAAATATGTTGTGGATTTAAACAGGTAACAAAAGCTCTGCTCCACTCTTACAGCTCATTTCTTTTTTCCATCATTGACAATTTCTTTCAATGAAAGATTTTCAGATTTTAGATACATTATATAATTTTATTATAATTGATTTCATTCCTCATAGATTTTTAGAAGATTTGGATGAAGGAGTTTACATTCAACAGACATTAGAAAGTGTTCTTCTCAATGATGATGGAAAACAATTAATGGTAAAAAGATATATGTCATACCAAACAAAATATGCACAATTGTGAAGATGCACATAAGAAGATAAAAGATCAAGTCTGCTTAATTATTTTTTTAAAAGGATATAATTTTACCTTATATTTGATACAATGAAAATTGACTTAGTGTAAAATGTTAATATTCCAATAAATCTTTTTTTTTTTTTTTTTTTTTTTTTGCAATTCAATTGAAAAAAGTGTTAAGTGTTCTCCTAGTTCATCATAATATGAGTTTCCTAATTGTATTTGGACAAAATCATTTAAATTTTGAGATACTTGTATTGGTTTGAACTTTGAAGCATGACTACCATGGTTAATATTCATTGTTGTATTTCTTAATAGTGTGAGTCCCTCTTTCTTTATGGTGTAATGCTGATCATCATAGATAACAAAATTGAGGGAACAGTTAGGGAGCGGATCCTAGTCTCTTACTATAGATACAGGTAATTAGATATTTGTAAGTGTAACAGCAAAGTAAGGGAGGGGATCCTAGTTTCTATAATAGAATCTTTCAGTGTGACACAGTCATAACAATTTTATACATTATTTTAAAGAATATCAAAGAATGGTAATATAAAACACCAAAATTATGTTAACCTTGTGCATATATTTACTCAGACTTAAAATAGGAACACACATCTTTTTTAAGTAATCCTTGTCTTTGACTCAGTGCTCAGAAGGCTGCAGCCGGTGATTCGAACATTGACGATGTCTGTAAGCTGTTGTGTGGTACAGGATATCAGAACACCGCCACGGCAAGGAGACCACCAAACTACCCAGAATCCTATTTCAAGTAACAAACTAATCAATACCATGAAAATACAATGTCATATCTTTTTATTATTGTTTTCAAAATGAGAAGACTAAAAAAATGTGTTATTTAATACCTGGTACAGTAAAACTTTAGTTTTAGTGATTGTGATGTCCTGGGGATCTGTGACTTGACTACTTCACTATATCTGTGATAAGTTTTCTGATGAGTTGAATTTTTAAAAAGACACACAGACACAAATACATGACAGTTCATTTTTTGAAATTAAATATTAATTTTACATGAAAGATGTAAATTTCATTGTGTTAAAATTCAGTGCAATACAAAGTAATTGACAAATTTGTAAAATTAGTGTTTAAAGTTTTGTAGGGGATAAAAAAAAATGCAATGTCCATATATTTGCTTTCATCCTTATTTTAATTAAACAATGCTATGGCTATTGAAACCAATTAGGGTTTTGGCTAAATACCGATATTCTCTTAAATAACTTTGCAAATATATTGATTTCAAATGTATTGAAAATTGCTTAACATTTTCCTTACTCTAAATTTTCTTTGAAAAGATACTCAAATTTGATAAAAATAAAAATTATGTTGAATTGATTTCAGTCGAGTTCCTATTAACCCAGAGTTTGTGAACATGGTGATTGGTCGTTTACGTTCAGATGACATTTATAATCAGATTTCAGCCTACCCCCTCCCAGAGCACCGGTCCACAGCATTAGCCACACAGGCCAGCATGCTCTATGTCATCCTCTACTTTGACCCCGAAATTCTTCACAACCAGCAGGCAAAAATGAGGGAAATTGTAGACAAACACTTCCCAGATAACTGGGTAAATACAGTTATACTTCACATATTTCTGTCTCTGCTTCAATCTTTACTGAATCATTCAAGTTTCGTAGTTAGTTATTTTTCACTTGTCAAATTAATTTGTCAGGTGATAGGTGTTTACATGGGAATGACGGTTAATTTACTGGATGCCTGGGCACCTTACAGAGCAGCCTGTACGGCCTTAAACAACACTTTAGAAGTCTCCAACGTCAGAGAACAGGTAGGTATCTGGTCGTCTATTGAGAGGGGTCTGTCTGCTGAGTGCTGAAATGATTCAGTTACCTAGCTGATATACAGCTATAAACAGTTTATGCCTATTTTGTACAGTCAGTGAAGTATGCCACAAAAATGCAGAAGTTGATGGCTCCGCTGGACAAGTACTTGAAGGAAGGAGTGTTGACAGAGGAGTTTGTTTTGGATAACATTCCTAAGATGATGAACGTTCTCAGGGATAGTAATGTTGCTCTACGCTGGCTGATGTTACATAGTGCAGGACTCTCACCAAGTGAGTTGTTTGTTCCCACAGAGAGTGTGTAATCTGCTTTGATCAAATGAATTTACATGTACAGTGTGTATTAATCTTAAATTCATGTAATTTTCATGAACAAAGCTCACATTTAATTTTTATCTGGATGTGTCATAAATCTGGTA